CCACCACCACTACTACTCCTGCTGCTGCTACTACCACTACCACTACCACTACCACTACCACTACCGCTACGACTACGACTACTACTACTACTACTACTACTACTACTACTACTACTACTAGTACTGGTACTGGTACTGGTACTGGTACTGGTACTGGTACTGGTACTGGTACTGGTACTGGTACTGGTACTGGTACTGGTACTGGTACGTGGTGACACGCCCTTATTTGATCGCGTGCGTTTCCTGCATTGCTGACAGATTTGGGGGGTGGGGGGGACGATTACGTTCCTGCTGGCGCCCCAGCATAGGGAGTGAGCCTGCTCTTTGCAGCCAGCTCGAAGGTGACAAGGAAAGCTCGCTTCCGGCACACAGACCATAGATTACCGTGGCGACGGATTCATCGGAGCAGCGACGAAGACCGGCACGCCTCGAAATGACCTGATCCCACTGCTTCGTTCGAAGTTGTTCGCTTGGTGTTTTTCGCTACAACCTGAGTTTGCCAGAGAAAGTGTTGTTGTTGAGGACGCTGGGCTCGGCTTTGAAGAAGTTTCACCAGTGACATGTCTCTACAATGCCTGCCAGGGCACCGCAGATGCGAGACAGTTTTGCTGCTGAGTCATAATCGCGATCCTCTTCGGCATAGTAGTAGGGCACCCACTCATGCATCAGTGGCATAAGGAGCTCCATGTTATGCTCGGCTCTTTGCAGCGAGGTTGGACGGGGAGACGCCTTGCGACGCACATCGTTTGGAGGATTGAGCTGTTCCTGCAGAGCTGGTGCTACTTGCTTTGCTCAAGTCGGGACCAAAGGCAGAAGTGGGGCTCGGTCTGCTCACGGCAGTTCAAGCTGTCAATTCGCATGTCGGGTTGCGTGCCTAGCAGTGGGCTTAACCGACGGCGGCCATCGCAAGAAGGTTGACATTTCTTCGGTTAGCGGCATTCCAGTTCAGAGCTTCGTAGGGCCGCAGGGTATACGTGCAAACCGTTCGTGAGTGTGCATGTAGTGCTGGAAACAAGATGTGAGCCAGCCGCGTCGGCTAAGATGGTTGGTGTTTGCAATTGAAGAGTGTGTCGGCCCGTTGGCAGCTGCTTTTCAGGATTCGGGTGCATTCAGATCTGAGAACGACCAAAAAAGCTCTTAGTCAACCCGACATCCTCCATCTTGATAAACTTTCCCTTGTTGCATTCGGCCAGCAGGAGCTACACCTGAGTTCCGTGACCTGCGATTGCTCCTCACGAGGCAATGCCTTCTGCATCATTTTCCGCCGGGTGCCCAGTGCTGTGTCAAGGCATCGGGATAAGGTTGGGTGCTGTTAAACAGATTCTGAGTGACATTTATACCACCGTCATGGGGGCATCAAATCTACATGAAATTCCAACCGTCAGGTCCGCAGCTCACCCGCGTCTGCGAGGGAGATCAGTTCGAGGCTCCTTCCGAAATTGGTTCTGTTTACATGCGCCCGGAGCTATGTAAATAGTCTGGCAGCAAGGAAGCAAGCTAGGCGAAGGTGCTCTGAAAGTTGAAGAATCGACAGGGGGCATATACGTGCAGAGGCATGCCAGTGCATTGGTGCCAGGTGGAAGTGAGTGGTTTGATTGGGAGCTCGGAGAGGCCATCGCTCATCAAGTTGCCCGAGAGTGTGTCCGTCTTCTCGGATTTCCCGCGCAACACCCATGCTTGTGTACCGAGGCAGTATTTCTTTCATGACTTCAAATCTGGCATCGACTTGGAATGGAAGGAGACAGATGTTTAGTTATGGTCTCGCCGTCTCATCATGGGATCAAATATTTCACGGTAGGGCATCCCACACAGCAGTATGGGCAAGGTTCGAAAGTTGTAACGAGTTTGTGACTTTGCGTGCATGGTTGTAGTGCTCGTAGCAGGAGTGCTGTTGCGCTGCTGAAACGCAGCATATTCCTTCTGCACGTACCTCTGCACCAGGCAATCAGCCCCCCGTACTGCAGTGGTCAAATGGATCCTGGCAGGACCAGCGATTCCTCCAAGCCGTGAATGGCTCCTGAGCTGGGTTCATCGGCAGATGGAACGAGCAACAGCATGCAGCAGCTCTGAGGCTTCTGTAGTATGACCGGGGGCGACACCAGCAACTATGCCGCATCGGCCCCAGACCAAATCAGTGCTTAGTGCTTTCACTGGGTTGAAGTCTGAAGTCAGGATTGCATGAGAGGGGCTTCGATGGATCTTGATTTAAAGCGAACGGTCAAAACCGCTAACACTTTAAAGCACGCCGAACATGCCAGGAGCCGTCCATGAAGATCACGCTTCCGAAGAGCAAGCACCTGAGTTTAGACTTGGGGAGTGGCCCTGAGCGGGCTTCCACGAAGGAATTCTCGAACCGTGCGAGCTGTTCTTTCCCGTAGTCTGCCACGCATTGATTGCAAGGTCGAAAGTCCGGACAGTTCACTATACTATGACTGTTGAATCAAGTCTTGAAGGCATATGAGCATGAGAGATTCTGAAGGTGTCGGGTTGGGCAACAGCCGCGGGTTGTCTGCTTGACCGAGCACAAGCCTAGACGCCTGAGGCATCACCAAGTCGCTCGCGAAGAGCCTTAGCGGAAGGCGTCTTCTGGCCAGAGTCGCTTTTGAACTTGCAGTGGGTTGGCTAAGTATGAGTGAAACTGCAGTTTTGACTTCCATGATGCCGACGCTGAATCGGTGTGTCTTGGGCCGGGGTGAGTCAGCCACGCTCAATGCAGAGGTCACAAGGTTTTTGTACACAGTATACAGCATGCAGGTTACCTCAGTGTGCCTATAATCTTTTGACGGATCTGATCTTGTGCTTGGCAAGCACTTGGCCACACTCGTCATGGCTTGGCAGCCTTGACTGATGCCATGTACAATCACACACAAGACCTGTGCTCACAGTCTTGAAGAGCCTCACTCGATTCTTGAACACTTCTCTTCGAGACTCGTACTGTGCGCAGGTTTGTCTCACCGACTTCATCACTGGTGCCGGAGGAGTTCCGAATTGGCATCGGTCAGACCACTGCCACTAGCTTGCCACAAACACAACCACTAAGAGCTCGTTTTCCAGGACAGAAGACGAAATACAACGACGACCTGGCACGACCCTTGACCCAAGAAAGATATTGAAATGGAGGCATATGTATGGATGAAAGTACGTATGTACCTATGTATGTATGTATGTATGTATGTATGTATGTATGTATGTATGTATGTATGTATCTCTGTAGCGGTGCATGTCGCGTGTGTGTGTGTGTGTGTGAGTAAGTGTAAGTGTACGTGTAAGTGTAGGTGTAAGTGTAAGTTTACAAGCACACATGTGATTCTATGTGAGGCGGTCTTGGAAATTCACCGAACTGCAGGGGGGCAGGTGAACTGGACGGCAGGCCTTCCAGAGTGTCGTGGTGACTTTACAGTGCATGGGGGGCACAGGAACCTTGCAGAGCTCTATGGTTCAGGATATCGAAGCTGGTCTCTGTGACGTACCTGCTTGGTGCCGTTAGTGAGACCTTTGAAAATCTGGGCAATGAAGCTATGCATGGTTCACACGAAGTTGGTTCATACTTGCAGTTGAGTCGGATCATAAGTGGTCGAGTCGGTATGGCGCACACGCACGCACACGCGCACGCACACATGCGCACCCACACACGTACATACGCACAGATACACGCACGCACACGATCGGGTTGCACATATAGATACATGCGTTTCACGTCCCTCGCAGATTCCAGCGTCACTGGGCAGCTCAAGATCTAAGGATCTCCCAGCGATGGGCCTCGTATCGCACACCTCCAAGGCTTGCCCCCCACTCACTCCCAGTGCGGGCCGAGGAAGCTGCACGCCAATGTCGATACGTGTGGCCTTTCTGCCTCCCAGGAGATCAGAACAGATGAGTCGGAGCTGGACATCTTCTTGCACTGCGCGGGAGCGGGGCACCACAGCTGTATGGCCCTGAAGCCGGCCCTCACACCGAGAGAGGGCCGCTGCCGCCGCTGCCGCTGCCTTGCAGGTCACGTCTCCTTAGGTCCTTGCCCTAGACTCAGCCATTTTGGCTCTAGGTCCCTGCTGAGCAGGGGAAGATGTGGAAGACTGGGAAAGGAACCCTCAAAGGACGTTCTCGTGGCCGGTCAAACTGGGCCGAGGGAGAAACCACCGTCGTGTTAACAGGGCTACCAAGGACTTTGAATGCAGACATTCTTTTGGAGTTGGTGGACGAGAAATTCCACCGCTGTTATGACTTTTTTTACCTTCCAATGTATTTGGACCAACTCGAAAACACTGGATTAGCATATATAAATTTTCGCGATCATACAACGGCTGTGGAATGCCAACGCTACTTCGAAGGGAGTATTGACTGGAGTGGGCACATCAGCGATCGTCCCTGCAAGGCACAGTGGTCTTCCATCCAGGGCTATGAGGCAAACATTACGAGGCACCGGAAGGCTGAATGGCTCGAGAAGAACGTTCCAGAAGATTGCAAGCCTATGGCCTTCGATGAGCAAGGCAGGCGACTGCCAACATTGGAAGTTTTCAATCCTTTGCAACCTTTGCATTCTACAGACTCTGGCAAGGGTGGAAAGTATCAAAGGCCAGGCAAAGGAAAACAGTGGGAACGAGACTGGTATGGTGCCAGTAAGCCACATGCCGGCAAAGGCAGCAACTGGCCTGGCTGGTACTCCGACCGCAACATTGAAACCGATTCGCGCCAGAGCGACAGCGGCTATGCTAATGCTGCCTTTGAGCCTTTTGATGATAGTGCTTCATGGCTTCAAGCTGCTGCAAGCTGGCAGGTAATGGAGATGACCGCCGGAGGCATTGATGACTCCTGGGGCAACCCCAACGAAGGAAATATGACCTCTGCACTTGACCTTTATTTGGCCAGTATGGACTCCACGGACAGGTACTCTGACGAGGCTTACGGCCATGCAAGTGGCCAAACCTTCGAGCCCAGGTTTCCCTTGCAGGAATCTTTTGAGAAGCGTGCAGACACGTTTGAGAGAGATCCCTCCAACACGAAAGTTGAAGACCAGAAAAGGCTGCCCAAGCCTTTGATTCCAGAACTTCCGGTGCTCGAGCATCTGCAGAACCGTGAAAGGGGTGAAAAGGGGAGCCCACAGACGAGCCCGCAGATGTCTCCATCCTCTACCGCCTCAGAGCCTGGGCAGCTCGGTCTGCGCAAGTACGCCTGCCCAAACTGCAAACTGATCTTCGCAAAGTGGTCCGCTTGCCAGCATCATGTCGTGAGTGATATGAACTGTTGGTGTGTTCTCGGAGAGGGCCGGCTGCCCTCGGATGTAACTGAGCTTCAGGAGAAGTGCAAGGCCGCAGCGGAAGAACGCCCGAAAGACTCTGAACCAACTGCTGCCTTCGTTGATGAGGCCATCCAGGATAAAGTACTCCGTTTCCAGTAGCCCCTGGCAAGACGCCGTGTGGGAGAATTCAGGACAATGATGTGGCACAGAGTCCACTCTCTTGAAAGCCAAAAGAGGGGCTGCTCTGGAAGGGAGTTTAGGGGGTTCACCTTGTGAGCACAGAAGAGCTCTTGAGCGTCCCGCCCTGACCCGGCCTCGACCTCCCCTTCCAGGGCCTTTCTTTCACTGAACGAACAAGGAGGTGGCAGAGTCAGGAAGGAATCTTCCCTAGTTGCTTCTAAATGCGGGATGAGGGGGCGATATGCGAACGCCCTTCCACGGCCGCTGCAATCTGCAGTTTGCCCACGAATGCACCATGTGGGGTGAAACTGTTTCGTCAATGCACACTGGCAACGTCATGTTATGTCATGTTGCCCACCTCCCTTTCATATACGGTATCCAAATCAGGACGTAAAGAGACGGCCTCTGGTCAGGAAGCCGCATGGTCTAAGGGAACCGGAGCAGTGACAACCCGCAGCTGTTGACTCTCTGCCCTTTGCTGTACCGTGCCCCCTGCTCTCCCGTCTTCGTCCTAGGTGGTGTGCTTCGAAGCGCGGCTGCATATGCAGAGATCAGCCCTGTCCTTGGTCTGTCGAGGCAAGATGAGGCAAGTACAAGTCATCGCATTCAACCTAGCAGCGAAGAAGACTCGAAAGCGAGTGGCTCGGAGCATGTAGTGAAGGCCCCAGGCAAGGTCACGAAAGCAGTGGTCCTCAACAGTTTCGCAGGAGGTATGGCAGGTTTGAGTTTGAATACATAGCCTTTGGCTTTGGCCTGCCAAGGATGGCAATGCCTTGGTGCAGCGCGCAACGAGAGTGCCCCGGAGCCCTGCACAAGACTGGACGTTACCATGGGCTGAGCAGGGCCTGCTGTGCTTTTTGTCAGGTATTCCAGATGAAAGACTTTTTTCTTGTGCGACGCGTGCTTACGCCTCCTCAGGGTTGACTTCGCAAGCCAGTTTTCTGACACATATATCAGCGGCCAGCTGTGCTCCTTTTGTCGTCAGACGGCCTTAGGCCTGAAGCTTCCATGTGCAGTCTCAAAGTACGAGCTGTCCTTCCACATGACCACGGTACCAGGCCAGGGACTGGGCCCTTCAAAGCTCACGGAGCAAATCATCATGAGTCATCCCGATATGCTTGGGCTCAGGAGCGAAAGATTTGGCGGAGCACCCCTTCAAGCATCCAACTCAGCTGACCGAGCTGCATAGGCTTCGGGAGTAGCCCTTCTGCCCCAATCAGAGCTGTTCGCAATGGGCCGCGCCACAGGCATGCGAGCTTGGCTTGGCTGGGCTTGGCTAAAACGGATGTCCAAATTCACAGCTCAAGCCTGGCATCCCCCACATTCGAGCCCTCCTCACGGACAAGTACGGGCAAACACCCGTAAGTCAGATGCCCGTCCCTGCTTCATGTCAGCAGAAAGTGTTTTGGTCTTCCGCGACTACAGGCTGTTACTGTGCTTCGCATCTGCAGGTTAGCTTACGACCGCTTTTCTATTAGTTGTTCGGTTGAAGTCTATCAGAAACGAATCGACACATCCGGAAACGAGACATTCATCCAAGATCCGGCTCAGGTGGTGAGTCAAGCCAGCTGAGCTTAACGCATTCGTGATTCCTGTGTCCCTAAGGTACACCATCAAAACGTCGGAGCATGGTGCTCAGCAATGCAACTTTCGTAACATGGAGCCGCCCTTTTTGGCTTCCGAGGTCGGCACCGTGTCCTCTCAGCTCGTTGGAGCATGCTGCATACTTCCGCTTTGGGCTCAGCCCCATGTCGGGGCCTCAAGCACCTCCGAGCCTCTGACGCTAACGGCTGAGAGTGGCCCATGAAAACAGTCGCTTGCGCTCCGGAACTCTTGGCGCTCTTCAGCTGCTCAAGAGACGAAGACTACGACAGAGGCCTCTGGGACCGGTTGAAGGTCCTGTTGAGAGGCCCAAACAGTCACATCAACACAAAGGCACAGGGCTTGTGATGGCTTGTGGGCTTCTGTGACCTCGTAGTCATCGAGGTGGACTGCAGCAGTCGCAGAAAATCACCCATTCTCGAGGCCAGCCGTGGCTCAACCCTTTGGCATCACCATCTGCTCGCCCATCGACTATGCCATACCGCCTGTCAGTGTGTCGGTGGCCCAGTGCGTCAAGCCTTCGATATGATATCATGCAGTGGGCATTATCCAACTTATGAGTCGATCATAAGCTTGTTTCTGTTGGTGGACCAGATGCAGAGTCTTAACACTTGGTTGGGCGACAACGCCCGTAAAGCAAAGGCAGAAACAACTCAGAGAAAACCAGGGACACGTTAGATCATCAGGCATTTCGACTTGTTTCGTGACTGTTTGTGCGACTTGGTTTTAAGACTTGGTTTTGACTTGGGATTCGACCTGCGAGTTCTGGAAATTCCCAGTTTTCTTTCCTAGTTCTCTTTTTGAAGTCAAAAGGTCAGAAACGTCACAAACAAAGTCGAACACGTCAAACACCTAGACGCTCTGATTTGCTTTTGCTGACTTTTTCCTGACTTTCGGCTGAGTTAGCTGGCCTGCCCCCATTTCGGGAGGCTGACTCTGAGAGTAGTTTTTCCTGTCGGTTTTGCCAAGACAGAACAAGCTGGGGAGCGGTCGACTTAATCCTGCTTGTGCATGTATGTGCACATGGATGGACGGACGGACGGATGGAGGTGAACACGCAGGCAGGGAGGAAAATTACGTCGGCAGGCAGGGAGGGAGGGATGGATGTACGGATGTGTGGAGGTATGGATGTACGTGTATGCACAATGTATGTATGTATGTATGTATGTATGTATGTATGTAGGCGTCCCGGATCGAGGCCCGCCAAGGTGCAGGGCCATTGCCGGCAGACCCCACGTGCCGAAACAAGTAGGCACAGCGAAGCCATTGCGCGCTATCCAGCTTCGCCAAGCTGGCACAGGCGGCTGCGGCTACGGCGTGCTCAAGCTCGCCAAGCAATTCACCGAGCTCGAGCTCAGAATCGTGTACCACCAAGGGCGGCCTTAGCGCTGCTCTGCGCACACCACACGGCTCCGAAGTACCGCGAGTTTCCCCAGATGGGCGGCGGCAGGGCAAGATGGGCCCGCGACAACGAAGCTGGCTATGGAAGCTGGCATTCCTCACAGGAATCTTGGCATGCCAAAGGACGTGGGCGAGCCCAGAACGCCCATCAGCCTGCGTCTGGATGGCGAAAGGACCCGGAGAAGGACAAGAAAGCCAAGTTTCCCACGTTGGATATGATGGAGAGCGGCAGAGCCGAGCAGGGACAAGCTTCGCGGGCAAGGGAGATGGACATCGACGAGGCCAACCCTACCAACGGCCAGATGGCCAGAGGAGTGCAGAAGATCCTCAACGCTATGAGGAAGTCAGAGGGCAGAGCAAGACGCCTGGAAGAAGAAAAAGAGGCCCTGGACCAAAAGTGGGAGAACTTCCAGCTCGAGCTGAAGCAGAGCTACATCAAGGAACGTGCCAAGTTCCAAGAAAGGAGCATCAAGTTGCAGGAAGAGATGGAAGAGGCCCAGCAGGCCCAGGAAGATGCCCTCAACGAGTTGCAGGCGGTCATTGCGGACCCCAAGGCGATCCTCAAACAGAAGGGTGCCAAGCCAGAGGACAAGGAGGCTGTCGAGGAGCTCGAGAAGCTCCTCAAGGACGCCGACGACGCCCCGCAAGGCTTTGCAGAGCTCCTCATGGGCGTCATGGCGGGTGGCAGCGGAGACAGAGACAGCACCCGACGGCAAATCATGCGAGCCATCGACCAACGCCGCAACAAGGACGAAGCCTCGGCGGCGATGAGGACCCCAAGTCGGCGACGGACTACGTATGCCCCCCGGACACCGCCGGAGGCAAAGACCGTCGACCCGGCAAAGACCTCGCAAGCACCCACAACCAGACCGGAGGCCGAGACCCAGCTCGTGGAGGATCCCTACATTACGTCGCCCTCCCTTGCCAACACCCTCCCGACTCCAGCAGAGGCCACCCGATCAAGATCCAGGGTGGCACAGAGGATGCCAATCAAACATGTGGGAAGAACGCCCAAACGGACCCCTACCAAAGGCAGTTTGGCGGAGAAGCTCGAAGCAAAGAGAGCCGGGACCGGAGTGGATCCAGATGGCACGCTCGAGGTGAACGACGAGGACTCAGACGAAGACATGATCCTCGAGCACCTCAATGGCAAGAAGGAAGCGGAGCCGCTAGGAGAGGAGTAACGGCTCACTCCTCGGATGGTCCTGCGGATGATATGAACAGCCTGCCAAGGGCATGGCAGGCAAGAGGGCTTTTTCGGTGCGTCCCTCCTCCTTTTTGGCCAGTCGCCCCTTTGGGTTCAGGAGCCCTTGGCCACAAGTACAGCTTTTTCGGTCCGTCTGTACCAATACTGGATTTCGAGAACGACAATGTGGTTCAGCACAGACATTGTCAAGCTGCAGCATACCCTCCATTGATGCTTGCAGGAGCCTGTACACCCCATCTCCTTTGGGGCAAGGGCGACAGCTATAACTGGCACGGCCCTACGGGAGGCCACGTCCAGACCAAAACCCCCGTCCGGAACACGACCTACAGCCGGACGGCGCACAAGATCTTTTTGACATCCTTGACCTACAGGCCAATGCGCTCCAAGCGGGATGGCAGGCGGCAAAGGCATGGATCGAAGACATCGACAACAAAGCCCCCTACAGCCTAGTTGGGGCCACATTGTCCCTGATGGCGGCCTTTCTGGTCGCTGCAGTCCTGGTGCTCGGGTCACATATCCGATGGAAGCGCCCCTTTGGACACCGTCGGGGCAGCCCTCCTATCTGGACCCGGCTGCTTTTGGTGACAGTGCTCATTGGGAGTGCGACGGCTATGCCGATCCAACATGGGCACCCAAGAAAGCAGGCGCCCCCACCGATGCCTCGACCAACGGACCTGGAGCTATGGATGAGTGGACAACTCACAAGTCGTGAGCAGCTCGTTCAGGCATTCCACCGCCTCGTCCTCGATGAACCGTTGGAGAGCGGAGGCCGACTACCAACAGAACGCTACCCAACCGGACCGCCTACTGTTGAAAGAGAGCCACCTGAGGACATTGCGGAGACCCCTGGGAATGAAGCTGGTGCAAACTGGGAATGGATAGAGGATGATGAAACCCGGACGACGCACATCTCCTTCCGGGTGTTTTCACCTTTTGTGGAAACTGAGTCGGTGGACATAGCCATGGCCTTCCCCCTCGACAAAGGGCGCCTCCTTGAGTTTGTCCACGACTCCACCCGCCACATGACGGACAGCTGGTTAACACATACCTGCGAAACAACACCGCAACTGCACAGTGACTACGGCAGCTTGATGGTATTACCAACATGGCTACCGCTCTCCGGCAACTACGCGATACTGATTGACGCCTCAGACATTGGTGGCGACATCTCGGCACACTATGTCACAGGCTACATCACCAGATATGTGATTCTCCAGCTGCTAGAAGAGGATCGAGCAGCTGACCATGACATTTATGTCCCGGGGCATGAACAGCCGATCACGGATGAAGCCCGAGTCGAGCCCATCCAAGCAGGACTGGTCAGAGTAAACGCCAGAGGGGTTAGCTACAACAAGCCCTCAAACTTGGATGAGCGGCTTGACAGCCCGGATGTCTGGAACCCAGAAACAGACCACCCTGACCATGAGCCGGGAAGACATATTGCTTTCCAATCAGCTGAGGGACAGTTCATACACAAGATTGAGCAAGGGAGCCGGCACAGCCCGCTCAATGTTGCCAGCGAGGGACTGGGCCTTCCGGAGCCCAGGATCTGGCTGCGGGGCCCGTTGCAGCGAGCGAACAGGCTCTATTGGCTCGGAAAGCGAGTACACTCAATTGTTGCTGTCCTTGACAGGGAGCAATTCCGGCCCGGGCCAACCAGAGTCGTCTTCGTTGACCTCCGAGGCCTTGGCCTTTGGCCACAATGGGTGGCGATCCAGGGTGAGGAGTTCCAGCCAGGTGACTTTGTCGAATCCCTCCACCTACCGGTCATTGAGGGCTTTTCGGTTGTTGTGATTGGAGGCCGTCGTGTTTCTGGCAGCCACAGCATATTCGTTGAGGATGGGGAAACGTTGGAAATAGTCCTGCGTAGAACAGGCGAAATCACGCCAACGGCCTCACCAGCATCCTCGAGCAGCGGAGACAGTGACGATGACAGCTCGGATGGCCCGGGAGCCCTACCAAATTCGTCCGACTTCTCATCCGGGCCCTCGCCACAAGGGCCGGGTCCTTTCGGACCACCACCCCCAGAGCCGGTCAACAGACCGAGAAGCAGAAGTCCCCGAAGGGACGGGCCCGCCGAGGCGGCGAGCACAACGGGTACCCTCTCATTGGCAAAAGCTTTGACGGTGCCTATATACGACCTGACTGACACAGCCCTGCGCTTCCCGCATTCACAGGCGACTTTGTATAATATACTGGGCCATTGGCCGATGACCTGGTTACATTATGACCTGGGCGGGGTACAAATGACGCAGGCGGCGGTCGACGCGATACAGCAGTGCCGGTCATGGCAGGATTGTGTGTATGGATGGCAAGGACAAGATGTCAGCTTTCAGCTGTTCACAGATGGCTCCGCCTCCAAGGACGGACATAGGAGTGGCTACAGTGTCATTGCCTTGTTGAAGGTTGGGGCTGTCTGTACTATGGTTGGGATCATTGGTGAACAATTGGTCGGCAATGCGGACACACAATGGCCGAGCACAGGGGCCCTGGCACTGGACGCAGAGCAAATCGCTATAGCAACGGCGATCCTATGGACGTTGCAAATGCGTGCGCTAATACCAAAGGTGCGCTGCCAAATTTGGTTTGACTGCCAGGCTGCGGGATACGCGGCATCAGGACAATGGACAGTGATCAATGACATGGGCAGCCGCCTTCGCAACCTGGCTCTTATGGCGGACCAAGTTGGCGAGGTGTCCATTGAGTATGGCCACGTCAAAGCCCATGCTGGCAATGGATGGAATGAAGTAGCCGATGCGGTGGCCAAGGCCCTGTCTTGCGGCAACATATGTGCCCAGGGGCCACCGGACGAGACGGTGAAAGCATTCTTGGAACTGGACCTAGCATGGGCCGGCTTCAACCTGAGGGCTGCCAGAGATGGGTCGTCCCGTGTTGCGGCTGGCCAACTATGGTGGAACGAATCACAATTCCGCCCATACCAACTGACAGTAAACCAACTTATCCCGACCAGTGCCGAGGACAACAAAGGCATTGGCACGACCGAGCAGTGCTTCCGATTGCGAGCTTGCACGGCCAACGTACAAGGGCTCACGGGGCACTACAAGTACGTCGAGGAACAGTTGGACCGGATGGCCATGAACGTGGTTTTCCTTCAGGAAACAAAGGGGCATAGTGGCATATGCCAGAGCAGTGCCTACCTCCGCCTCTCCACAGAGGCCTGCAGACACTTTGGCGTTGCGGTGTGGTTCCATAGGAGGCTCGGCGCCATGCAGATTGATGGCGTTCCCCTTGTGATCCAGGAGGAGGACATCGAGGTCCTTGCTGAGACCCCAAGGCTACTGACGCTGGTCGTAAGAAAGGACGGGCGCAAGTTCGGATTCATAGCAGGCCACTGCCCGCATTCTGGGCGAGCGGAGGAACGAGATGCCTTCCTGGAGCAACTTGCCTCCATACTGCATAGACTCAAGCGATCACACTTGGTGCTTTGCGGTATTGACCTGAATGGAAGAGTTCAGGCACCGTACGAGCTTGTGTGCGGAACGCTGACCTGCGATGACCCGGATGCCACGGGCCAAAAATTTACGGAGACCCTGGCAAGCGCGGGAATGTGGATACCCTCTACCTACAATGAGCTCCACCAAAGAGATCCATATACATATTGCCACCCCTCGGGCAATGAAAGCAGGATCGACTATGTGGTGGTGGGCGGCCGGGCCAACATTGACGGAGCAGGCAGTGAAACTTGCCAGGACTTTGACAATGGCAGCCCGAATGAGGACCATCGCTTGGCCGCCTTGACCCTGGAAGGACGACTACAGTTGAGCCAAGGGAGGCCCAAGCTGTGGAGGCCGGTCTACGACAGGGACAAGTTGGCGACGCCCGAAGGCCGTCAAATCATTGCAGAGGCGTGTGCTTCCTTTGTGCAACCTGATTGGGAAACACACCCCGACGAGCATTGCCAACAAGTTCAGGAACATCTCACTAGATGTCTACAGCAGCACTTCAAGAAAGACACGACCAACGAAAAGGCCTCATACATCCCGGCAGAGGCCTGGCAACTCCGAGACAGTAAGAATGCGCTCCGCAGGCGCACGAGAGCAAGACGACAGACGTGGGGGCGCCTTCGCCGAGCAGCCTTTGAACATTGGCAAGGCGGAGCAAAGCATGACCTTGAAGGCAGGGTCGCCAAACAAGGGCTACTGTATGAATTGGTCGCGTCGGCGGTGAGCATCGCCACCCGAAGAATCAAGGTCATGATAGCAGAGGCCAAGGACAAGTTCCTTCGGCAGGTCGCGGCTGAAGGACACCAGAATGTAACGGCCGTGCTACAAAGAGCGAGAAAAGCTGGAGTGGGAGGCCGGAACCGGCGACCGGTCAGCCGACCCCTACCGAGATTGATCGACCCCAAAACGGGTGAGGTTGCAACAACGGCTGCGGATAGGGACAAGATTTGGCTCCAGTTCTTCGGAGAACAGGAACAGGGCAAAGTCATCCCTACCGACAGCCTCATACAACAAGCCGGTGAATGGCAAGACCGGGGCGACTCGGAATGGAGCTGGGAGCTGCTGCCATCCACAGCGGAGATTGAGGCGGTCTTCCGTCGGACCCCAAAGGGAAAAGCAGGGGGAATCGATGCGATACCCAGCGACCTGCTGGCTACATCCCCGGGGCCGCTAGCGCAGCTGCTCCAGCCGCTGTACCTGAAGTCCCTGCTGGCCGGAAGGCAGCCACTCCAGTGGAGGGGCGGCATCCTGTATGAGGCCTACAAGAACTCAGGGCCGATGCAGGAAACGAGCAGCCATCGCAGCCTGTACATCTCCAGCTTTATCGGCAAGTCCCTCCACAAACTGGTCAGAAAGAAGGCCCAGAGACAGGTCCAAAACTTTCTACACCCACTACATTGTGGGTCAAAGCAAGAGATGCCGATCCTCTTCCCGGCCCTATTTGTGGCACAGCATCTCCGACGTTGCCAACAACAAGGCCGCAGCGCTGCAGTTTTATTCGTTGATTGCAGAGCTGCATATTACAGCATCATCCGAGAGATGGCGGTTGGCGACATCCGACTGGACAATACGGTGGAACATTTGTTTGCCCATTTTGGCTTGGACGGAGATGATGTTGCTGAACTGAAAGCCTTGATTGAAGAAGGCGGCATGTTGTGTGAGGCCAACGTGCCGAATCAGATCAGGGGAGCGGTTCAGGACTTCCACCTAAACACTTGGGCGATCACAAAATACACTGATGGACAGTCGGTGACTACCTCAACGGCAGGGTCCCGTCCAGGGGCTTCTTGGGCGGACACAATTTTTGCCTTTATTTATGCAAGGATACTCTATCGACTGCATGAATATTTGGAAGGCGAAGGATTGAATTTCCAACTGCCGTGGGACAGTGCAGAAGGCCCTTTTGCCACCAACCTGGATGGTGCCCCCCAACCAAGTTGGGATACAACATGGGCTGACGACACTGCATGGGCAATCGAAGGAGAGACGGCAGCTGAGCTTTTGGAGAGGGCAACGAGGATAAGCACCCTCGTCATATCCATGTTCAGGTCGCATGGATTGACCCCGAACTTGAAGAGAGACAAAACCAGTCTCATTATGAGGTTGGTTGGCCAAGGGGCCACGAAAGCCCGGCGGTCATTCTTCTCCAACGGCAAGCCGGAGCTGTACCTTCCAGACCTTGGGGAAGCCATCCCGATTGTCAAGCAGTACAAGCACCTTGGAGCGATGATGGATCCTACAGCAAAACTGGGCGCGGAAGCGAAGTACCGAACGGCACTGGCAAGCGCTGCTTACGAGAGTGCAAAGGACCTACTGCTGCACAATCGGGACCTACAATTGACGACGAGAGCCCAGGTCTTTCAGTCTACGGTGGTGGCCACCTACTTCAACCTTCCTTTGTGGTTGGCACGAGGAAGAGAATGGGACAGTATGGACAGGGCCTTCTCGCGACTTGTCAGGCGGCTGCTGGTGAGGGATATCCCAGGACCAGAGCTTTTCAAGGTGCCGCTGCCGCTGGCGCATTGGGCGACGGACTGCTGGCCATTGAGCTTCTTTGCCCGCCGGAGCAGAGTGTCGGCACTGGTTTCGTTGGCCAAAGCTGCTCCACCGGTCCTATGGGCGATGCTGCAAAATGAGCAGCATTGGAATCGGCAGCTGCAACAAGACATGCAATGGCTTGTTAAAGGTGCAGAGGCAGATTGGCCGATCATAGGGGCGGCAAGCTGGCCACAGTGGAGAAACCTCCTGGCGGAGCACCCGGACAGGGTGAGACGGCAGGCCCGACGGCGCAACTACCAGGACTTCGAGCACTACAAGCGAACAGAGGCGAAAGGGATTTGCCTCTGGATCCTCTACAGGTCCATCGCTACAAATGGGGGAAACCAGCAGAGAAAGCAGCAATGCTGTATGATCTGCATGAAATATTTCAAAAGCCGCGCAGGCCTGGGTGCGCATTTCTTCAAGTCGCATGGAAGATGGGCTGGATACAGACTCTGTGTCACAGGCAGTTATTGCCACGGTTGTGCCACGGAATACTGGTCTATTGGTCGTCTTGAGGACCACCTCCGAGCGTCAGCTATGTGTGTCAAGAAGCTGCTTTGCAACGGCAATGTGGGACCACATCTGACGGCAGGATATGGGAGCCGGAAGCGGCGCCAGACGGAGACCGAACAGTTTACACCGGCCCCCCCTAGACGAGATGGGGGAGGGGCAGATTTTGGACACCAGGATGTTTGGAGCAAATGGCAACGCGGTTTCCATGAAGCAGTGTGTGACATCCTGCACCATGGTGGGGGACGAACAGCCACCGAGCTTACGGATGCACTGCGGGCTGAGATCAGAAAGCACCCGCTCTATGTGGAAGAACTCCGGGAGACCCTGCGGTTGGTTACCAGCGAGGTGACAGAACTGCAGAGCGACCGGGATTTGCAACCCTGGAGCGAAGAGCAATATCACCAAGTATCTCAGGCACTACGGGACGCAGAAGAGATGATTGACAGGAGCGAGGTTTCCGACAAACTGGAGACTGATGACCTTCCGGACAGATTGTCCTTCGGTGACAAAGCGGCAACCTTTGATTGGGGAAACCTCATTGAGGAGTACATTGAGAACCACGTGACCCAGGGCGGTGAGTTGTACATACTGGCTGAGGGCTGGGAAGCTTTGTGGCCTGACGGCAGTGACAAACCGCTTAGCATAGCCGTGGTCAAGGACCCCTTCAAGTTGCTCCCGGATGTTCTTGGGGCCCTTTGGAAAGACTTGCTTGATGGCAAACGGCCACAGCTAAGGGCACCCAATGATTTCTGGAGTCACCCACTCTCCGGGCCATTTTGGTCCTTTAGAGAGTCGACTGCATGAGTTAATTAGGCTGCGTACGCCACTGACAGCATGGAAATGCCGAAAATGTATGTATGTATGTATGTATGTATTTATGTAGGTATGTACGGTAGCTACGCTGTAGTCAAGGTTCTTACCCGCCACAGTTCTTTGTGGTCGGCTGGTGTCGTGAAAATTTTTGTAAGGGTCATGCATGTCGCCTTCTGCTTGGAGCTCATCCAAGGTATTTCCTGGTCCATCTGCATCCGGATTGCGTGCACTCCGAGGCACACGCTCGCAGACCCCACTCAATGCCTCGGATCCAGGAAGAGGGCTGCAAGAATCGTCAAGAAGACCGGCCCAGGCTGTGCGGGAGCCCACTGGCGAGACACCCTCCTCGCTGTTGTTTCGGCGCCTGCGGGCTGACGACGAAGCCGCCTGGGACATAGACCTCATGCGCGGAAGCTGCCCTTGCCCCGAGCAGCTTACTGAAGCAGTCTCACATATTCTCACTTTCTGCCCGCGTACCCTAGGATGCATCAGACCCAGCAGCATGGTGACATGTGGCGACGCAGACAGAGGAACTGGGCGAAGCCTCGAAGCCTCGAACGGCTCAGGCTGATCAGGAGGCACTGCTGAATGAGACCATTCAAAACTCAGGCACCCTCCATCCGACGATTTTTTCACAATGCTGTTGTAGAGTTGTTGGAGCGGCGCATTTTTGGGAATCCGAGTGCGAGCGTAGATTTTCCTTCCTGCCATTATCATAAATTTATTTTTGGTTGGTGTGCAGCAGATTGAATGAGCACAGGGCACGTAGGCCAATGTAGGCCGTATGCACCGACAGCTTAGATTCGCCTATGGCACGTCGGGCCTGTGCCGCATCCAAACATCACGAGACTAACACCTGTGACAGATCCCTTCTTTGCGAACGGCATGCTGGATCGGTCCGCGCTTGGCGCTGAGCTTCGTGGTCTTGAGCGCATTGCAGCTGCTAGTTTTGCCCTTTGCTGCAAGTACTGCATAGCATTCAGCAGTTAAACAGCTAGGGGGCTTAGTTAGCATGGGTCGCTTGCACATTCGAGGAAAGGGATCGAACAGCCAACGTCCAATCCCAATGGCCCGAACTCCACCACGAAGCCACACATTTAGCCCTGGCAGTTGGAAAGGTGCTTGACGCAGATGGTGCAAAGGAGACGAGTCGGCTCATGTACACACAAGTCTTGAGAACGCTGTCCTCGGACTCAACGTATGTGCCGACAGCACTGGTGACATGTTGAAATCTGCAGCAATGCCCAGTCGCAATGTGCGAACGAGACCCGGATGCTTCTGAGAAGGATGAGAACCCGGTGCTTGGGTGACCTGCGTGCTCGACACAATGCACATTCTATATACATGTGCGGTGTGCGACAGGGACACGGTTCGCACGACTTCCTAGCACACGGCCGCTAGTGAGATAGGCAGGCAGATTACAGCTCGAACTGAATTGTCGGAATGAGACAATTCCTCAGATAATTTGGCTTTGGAGCTTGTGTCCTGTGCTGTTTTGAACGCGGCTTCTTCTGCTGCCAATGCTGACCTGCTTCCTACAAAGCTGACGTTTGAGTTTATTGGCCACGTGTACGCTTCTGATGCGCAAGTTTTCTGGCGGAGAAATCTCAAGGGTCGCAAAGCGCTGAAGACATCCGTGCCGCGAGGAGAAACTTCCAGGATACACAGCGCATGCTACTGCACAGACCATCGGCCGTCACTGTGCGACACCCAGACAGTCTGAGAGTTTCGTACATGGGATGGTCGATGCGGCACCGTAATTGTCGCATCCAGCACCACAAACCCAATTTGGGCTTGCACATTCTGAGATCAGATCTATAGGGATGCTAGAGCTGCAAATCATGAAACTCCAGGAATCCTTGTTCTTGCGAGACGTGTCTTCCTACGCCAAACAGCATCACCAAGCCATGCTCTAGTCCAGCAACAATCTCTGCCCCTCATGACCAACCAAGATGGACCCGACGGTCAACGTGCTGCGGAGGTGCGGGCACAGCAGCATGATCTGCAGAACATATCGGATGATGTGCAAGAGGACTCATTGCATTTGTCGTTGGCTGATCCAGCTGCTCCTGACTCCGTCGTTGTTCTGGATGTGGTGGTGCTGGTATGAGAGTGCATGGGCAGGGGGATCCTAGTCTGAAGACATGTCCCAGATCCTTGCCTTGTGCAACTCCGAACTGAAGTCGACATCAACTCCACTGCCTGCAGTGCAGCCTCTCTGCAGGCTGCACCACGGCTTGGAATGGCATCTCGGTGAGAGAACACAGGAGCCCGAACTTTAGAAAGGGTGGTCGGAGCTTTCATCAAGCCTTTTTGTCGACACTGGACCAGACCCAGTCCTGCAGCTCTGCTGCTTATGCCGCAGATTCAGTGAAGAGCTGCAGCCAACGAGCAACCTTGCGTGCACCTTCTGCACGTCTGTAAGATGTTGACATGTATAAAGAACAGGGAGTCCTGCCCAAACTTTCCCGAGCCCCAGCTGCAGTAATCTGCTGGAATTGGGGATCGTTGACGAGTCAGAGAGCAACTCATGAAGTTGACAGCCACGGACTCGACTGAAAGGGAGCTCCCAGCTAGCAGCCGGTTACTGCAGCTCTGGTAGATAAGAGTTATCAACAAGCTTCTAGAGGATGTTCCTGGTGCCATGCGGTTCGATGTCGTCGTCAGCGAGGGCAAGACCCTGCAGCAGCGGTTTGCTGGGGTCTCAGAATGTCTCAGACCTGAAATCTTTGCTGTGCTGATCGGGGTTCATCTTAATATGATTCTGGACAAGTTTTTGAAAGCTACCATATTTTCAAATTTTCCGGACGCATAGCTTCACTTCTATGGGGGGCTTGTGCAACGGCTTGCTTGTATGATTTTCCCCGATGGCGTGAACGTCGAGCTTTTACGCTCGGAGAAGACGATGATCAGTCGGATAAGGGTCTCTGCCTCTCACCTTTGCCTCTTGCTGCACAGATGCTCAAGGCTTACTCCCTTCAGCCAAACCTCGGCTTCCCGGAGTTCTTCGACGGCCTGCGGGGCAATTCGGTACTAGGACTAAGTTAGGCAACCCAAAAGCCATCAAGATCCAGACGGGTGCCGATATGCCAGGCGTATTACATCTCAACGAGAACGACGCCGGCTCTCGCATTGAGCTTTTCTTCAGCCTGACAGTGGAAGAGGCGCTTAATGCAGCAAGCCCGTGCCAACGCAGCATGTGCCCCCCTTACCGCCACAAGCAAACATATTTCACAACTTCCGCGGGGAAGCAGGTGCCCCGCAGCAACATTGCTTCAGGGGTTACAGGGGGCTTGAAAATAAGCCAATCTGCAAGAGTTGCAGCAGACATCCGCTTCAATGCAGTCTCAAACCTTGAGCCTTGGAGTCTGTAGCCCCGCAGATGGCTTACCAGTCCCCTTTCACAATGCCGGGGCCCATCATCCTCTCATCGTCAGGAAGCGGACAAGGCACCCATGAAGATTGGCGAGTGGAAGGCCTGGGGGAGTGGAGCCTCTGCCGATGAATCCGATGAGCTTTTACAGAGCCTTCGCCAACGTTGCTGAGGGCGCTAAGGATAATAATATCGAGAGAGCAGCTCTTTGCACAGCTCGTGCACTGCAGTTGCCCTGCGGGGTGCCAGATACTTAGCACAGACGGACCCGCAAGGGTCAAGCTTTGGTGCCAGGTCGCTCGACCTCATGACGCTCTTTCATAGTACCCGGCTACGTGTGCAGTCTAGGCTCCAGGGGAGTCGTGAACTTGCCCGGTGTTTGCATGAAAAGGCAATCTGCTAAGCGTGCTGTATCGTACTGTATCTTCTTGACCTCAGCTCTTGCTGCGTGGCAAGCTTGTTAACGTCTCTAGCTTGGGTCTGGGCATGTTTTCCAGCTCGTGACCACAGTCCTTGTCCTGCTTTACAGACTCCACTGCCCACAAACTTCACCTGATTCATCGATAAACTGTGCTCACTTGCGGCATCCTGCTGCCCTTTCGACCCCCTCAAAGTGCATGATGTCCGAGAAACCTCGGTGGCATGAAAGGATGCAGCCTGAAGACCAGGCTGGAATCCGTGCCGAAACTGGCCGGCTCTGCACAAGACTAGCTGATCCAATGACGATCGGGCCCGACACAAGTCTGCAGCTTGGGGAGCCGAGTGTGGAATGTTCGGCCCTGCCGACCAAGCCAGGCATGTCACTGTGAACGCTTACCTGGCCGGACACCCCCGCAGTGGCAAGGACCAAGGCCAGATAGGAAGTTTCTTGGGGGCGAGGGGCAGCCCGTTCTGGCCAAGATGTCGGGCTGCAGCCTCAGCATGCAGATGCGAGCGATGCGAAAGAGGGCTGTGTCCATGCCTGGAGGTCGCAACACCCGTATGGCGCAATGGCTCGACTATAGGCTCTGACTGATGGCCGTGACTAGTTTGTGCCTAGCAGTGACGTTCCTCACGGCCTCTTGTGCCAAGGGGATCCTGGATCACATCCTGCTGTCCCTAAGGATCTGTTGGTGGGAAAGTTGCTGAGGAATGCAAAACGATTTTCATTGCAGTCATAAACGCTTGTCATAGACCGTCATTGCACATCTGTTCTGCTCGCTTTGCAGGGCTGTCGACCCCTTCCCACGATGCACACTTCTAGCCTCAAGCAACAGGCTCTGCTTGAGCAAACCGGGCTGACACTCGCAAAGACTCAGAGAAACCGCAGGCCCCCATGAGCAGTGAGGGTGTGTGAAGGCCCCAGCCGTCGCAACAGACGGCAGCGGCCGCCGCAGCTAGACGAGCTACTAGTACGAGAGAGTCAGAAGAGACAGCGTCAGTGCAGGGTTCGTGTCACCATCTCCGACGCCCGCATGCTGGTTGGCACCTTTATGGCCGGGCAACCGAGCTTGGTGCTTCAAGGACTCTAAGGCTCTTACAAGGACTCCAGACTTGATCCCAAAAGAAACAGTGCCCTCAGCCATTCGGAAGAACTAGTCACGAAGCCAAGGCCGGTCTGATCTGACCTCCTAAGCCCACACCACCCATTGCTGATTACTGGTTCTGTAAGTCTCCTGGGGAGCTACATTTCTCACCCTTAACACTGGCACTGATTCGATTCTTCATTGTGCTTTCAATCCTTTACAATGGTGAGCAGCCTGTGCGCTCGCCAGTTTGGAACCTATCAGCATGCTTGCGTTTCAAGGCTTTTGACAAGTACATGAACGTGGTCCTTGCAGATTGCGAAGAATTTCGGAAGATCAAGCCTGACCGGCAAGTTTGACTGTTGCCGCATACAGCCATGCATCGCACTTTGACAGCTGCCGCAGAGTTTGGTGATGTTCGATGGACGAAGGCTCAAGGCCCCAAAGCGGATCCGGTCTTCTGTGCCCATGGCTAAGGCGTTGACCTGTTGCTTGGCATGGAGGACGGAGATTTAGAGGACTGGGAGCTGGTCGACCGCACTGAGGCTAGGGCCCAACAGGAGAAGGCCCGGAGCCTTCATCACAAGAAGTGCGAGCAGGAGCATCGTCAGGCCGCAGAGGCGCACCGAGCCCTCATCAATGCACAGCAGGCGGCAGAGCTGGGCAAGCTAAGAGCCAATGAAAGGTGCATCGACGATGTTCATCGGGTCTGTTGCATCCCAGGCACTGCCACAAGTATTGTGGGAATTCTTCTGGAGACACCTCTTGTTATTCGTACCAAGACGGAGCACCGCTTCGGAGACGCGCAGAATATTATCATTACTGGTCTCTCTTTGAAGGCTGGTGCGCCACATTCTGCTGCTTCTTTCTTGTGTGAGCTCAGCCGAGACCACGACCCCTGTCTGCAGAGTTTTGACAAACTTCTTGACCAATAGTCTAGGTTCATGCATTGTTCTACAGCGTCTGGCAGGTCGCACGCTACGTTGATGAGTGCAGACTGTCGCTACCAGGAACTGCCAAATGCCCGTGTGAACCAGAGGAAGTCGAGCAGTTTATCTGCCTTGACAATGCAGAGGTCAAGTTGTCCATCTCTTCATGGGGTATGGGGCGCACACCAATCACCCACAGCGCTTTACAGGCCATTGCGCAAACCGCAAAAGCTTCGGGACTGGGCTGTGCAATTGAAACTGCTCTGGCGACCGTTCGAACTGCCTGTGGCGGTCTCCAGCACTGCGCAGAGGCGTTGGCGGGACACCTGGAGCATAGGCAGCGACTGACAGAAGACGGTGGCTCGGATGCTCTGATACAGATGTCCTCGGCCCTCAAGAATGTGAGTGGAGCCCGGGTTCCTATACTGGAGGTGAGCGCCAAACATCAGTGGGACATTCTTCGCGAAGCTGTGCAGCCTGATCACTGGATTTCGTCTCGAACGTGCCATGAATGCATGGAGTGCTTCAAGCCGCTTCGGAGCCTTCGCGTGGAGAGAGAGTCCCGAGAGGATTCGGAGGGTGCAGATGGAACAGACTGGAGCTCAGCTCACCATTGTCGGCATTGTGGCCGAGTGGTCTGCCACAACTGCGCGGTCGTCCGTGAGTGTGTCCCTTGGCGTGGGGAGTTCCAGCCCGTGCTTGTGTGCAAGCCCTGCAAACCCGTGGTGCTCTTGAGACTCTCGGCTGCTATACCTGGGAAACGGTGGGTTGACAGAGCAACAAGCCGCAAGTAGCATCAAGCAAGCGAAGCATGACTACCCGCGGCTTGAACAAGGGGGTGCTACGGTGCAATTCAGATACTATCCGGAAGGCAAGCTGCACTTGTATCAGCAAGGTCAGGCCCTGACACTGCCGTCTAAGGAAACCTTTGCCTCCAACACCTGCAGAGCTTCAATGCTCAGATCGAGCTGGTGGCCGCGGGCCTCAGCCCACCTGTGGAGCCGACGAAAGGTCGGGGGAAAGGACCCCCGCCCATCCCACCCCCGCCACCCAAGGGCAAGGGTCGAGGGACTGTCCAGATCAAGACTGGGGACGCACGACGCGGCCGCGGCTTGGGAGCTCTGGGAGAGGACATCAAGGATCAACTCAGTCCGGGATTGCGAAAGGCTTTAACTGCCCTGTGGCTACTTGCACCTCCGCCAGTCAAGATACGGCCGCTTCGCTTCAAAGCTGAGCATTGTTTTCTCCCTGAGGTGAGCTGGCAGATTTCGTGGTGGTTCCTGCCGGTGTCGCTGCTAGGCCCAGGGCAGCCATCAGCAAACCCAAGGAGGCCAGGTTGCCGAATCCAGCTGCTGCGCTCGGAATGTCGTGCTTCGAGCACTTCGGGCTTTGCCTTCTTGTCTATCTCACTCAAACGCACTGCCCACTCAATAGAAACCAAGACTTTTCTTGTAGCCAGTTCTTCACAGACCTTTGGACGGATGGTAGCTACTCGTAGTAGTCCTTCTCGAGAGAAGATCGTCACTTCCACGGCTTTCTGGTGATAGAGTAACATGCACGTACCAACATTGTCAGTAGACTTGATCGTTCGGTTGATGGAGTGATGCAACGAGTTGAACTCCCACCTTTGGGCACTGTGTTTGGGGGGATACCGCTTTCGCTGGGATTCGTAGAAGAGTGAGGTCTACTCGTCGAGGGCAGAAAGGTGCCGGTAGACATAAGGTGGACTGACACTTGTTGTAGAGTCTAGAGGTTATCATCTTGACCAAGCACGAGAGCCTGAAGTGGCATGTGGCAAGCTACTGAGCTCATGATTCGCAACAGCCACGGATTTGGTTTCGTTAAAAGGTACAGGGTGATTTTATCGAACTTGGGACGCTGATGAATATGGACAGGTAATAAACAGGGCAGGCAGAGGGGTTTGCTCGCAGAGCACGTTTGCAAGGGAAAGCCTCTGCATTCATGACTTTTCGCAGTTTGTTCAGAGACGTCGTGGTCCAGCATCGGCAATGGCTGTCCCCACGCCCCTCTGCAAAAACACTGCTTCTATAGCCAAGGCAAAGGCTACCGTCCGCATCTTGCGGAGATTCTGCGGTGCCTGGAAAGTCTAGAACTCCAGGAGTGCTGCTTTCATACGTCAGACGCTGCTCTCAGATTGCAGCTGAGTCGTTCAGTGTTTCGAGGCTTGTGGACTTGAGGCAGCTCGTAGGCTTGTCTTTCGCAAGCCCTGATGGAGGCAACAAGACTTCAGCATGCTTGGGAAAAGTTTTCAAGCAGGCAGACATGACTTGAGGCATGACTGCTTCTTGTAAGGATGCGCAAAAGCTACAACGAAGACGCAAGTCTGACCTAAAAGCTCCAAAACCTTGCTAGCAGGATGGCTCCAGCGACGTCTGGTTTGATGCCCTGGAGCAGATCCTGCCCCTCGAAGAGAAGCTCTCGGAGGAAAGCCTCCAAAAGCTCCAGGCCGGCCCCGCCTCGCTGCGAAAGCCAACGGAGAGCAGAACGGAGCTCCTTTTCGCGGGAGGCTCTGAAGCCTCAAGACGAGGAGAAGCTCCGGGAGTACGAACAGCACATACGTGTCGTGTCTGAGCCTGGCCTGCCGGCCTGTGACGAAACTCGTAGCTGAATGGAGTCATCTGCAGCCGAGGCTTGCTTCTCGCCGTGCCACAGCTGCCGATGCGTTGGCGCACTCTGCGACTTCTGCGTGACCTGCGAAGCGAGCAGGCTCGCCTGACTCCACACGCTTGATCATGTCGCGTGCCGAGCCCGGCAAGTTCGTTGCGACATGTAACGATGAAGGCTTTTCGTGGAAGCGGCGGTAAAGGCTTAAAGAGCACGATGAGCGTTCACGGCCCTCAGGCAAGCTTTATCTCCAAGTGTGCTGCCATTCAAGCAGCCTGTGCTGCCCCACTCGTCTGCAATACAGACGGCATGTGGGTTCTCCGGAGCGAGGCTCCTTGGAAGTTCATGGCAGCTGCAAGACGCTGTGGATCTTGGTTACGCGCATCTGAGGTCAAGAACGTCATCGCCGCGCATCCCGCCTGCAACACATCTTCAAGTAGCGCTGCTGGCCGTGTAGTTTAATGGACCAGGCGTCTGCGACTCTCGCAGACAAATTCAGTCGAAGAATTCCTGAATATGCTGTGCCGTGTAGTGACATGCCGTCCGGCTCCATACGCACGAGCAGAACATTGAACAACTCCACGGCATTCCACGACCCTGTCTCCGTCATTGAAGCAGGCTGCACCACGGCATCCAGCCGAGCTGTGAAAGGTTACAGGAGCCGACCCTGCCGGAAACCCCGACGAAGTCCAAAGCCGAAGCCAAGCATTCCGCCAGGAGCTCGTCTCACGGACCCAGGCCAGTGCGGGAAACCTTTGTATTGCCTTATATGCATTTTGCTCGGTTTGAGTGGAGCGCCGGTGACTAGGCCAGAGGTTGCTTTTGACTCTGAATGTTGCGTTTTTTCTGGAAGAACGGCGTCGGATCGCTGCTGACGCTCTAGCTCACTGAAGTACCACTGAAGCAGACCAATTCAGGCATAGACGGTCTCAGAGCGGACAGACTAGATGAAAAGTGCGCTTTCCACACCATCAGGCCCTGCACTGCTTAAAAGCAATTGATGCAATGAGCTCCGCAAGGTTGGCAGTGGCAAGCTGTTGCTGAAAAAGTTGTGGCAAGCAGGCAGGGCTTGGGATAGTTGCGCCCTGCAACACACCTGTCACACCTGCCTGCTCAGGGTGAAACATGTGCAGACGGCATGTCAGTGTGAAAAATGTAATATCTTTCCGTGCGCTGCCAGGAGAGAAGCATCAGTACAAGGACTTTGACACAAGAGGCTTTGTGCACATCTTGGCGCCTGTGCTTCTGGAGGGAGACGCAGCATGCGCTATGCAAGAGCTGATCCAGCGCTTCTTGGATCTGCGCAAACGCCATGGCGAGCTCTTGTCCAGCTGCCCGATGGAAGAACTGGCACATCCACAGAACTTGCGGGAGGCCTTGGATAGCATGATGCTGACTTTCCAAGAGCTCGAAGCACAGATGATCCGGTGCTTGGAGCTTGGTGGTCGATGTCTGGTGGCATTGGGACAGTGGTACGAAGCCAAGCCCCTGAAGAGCTTGGCTGAGTCCGCGGTCCTTGCCCGGGCCATGGATCAGAACCTGCAGAGCCTGAAGAATCTGACACGCAGCTTGCGGGACGCTCAACCTGACGATGTCAAGCGGACACCAGCCGCCAAAGCTCGCAGCAGATCGAGTCTGAGTACATGCAAGCTGCCCAAAGCCTTCAAACGAAAAATTGCACCGGAAGCTCGCAGAGCCTCGAAGGGGACGCGCCCAACAAAACCATCATCGGACGAGGAACCGACACAGAGGGCGACGGGTGTGCAATTCCGTGATGCCCAGGACCAGGACACATCAACATCATACGTGACATAATGAAAGGTGTGGTGACGATACGTAGTGGTGATTTAGTACCAGAATGGGGTTGCTGCTCAGGAGCGTTTCGGATCCAGCTCGGAGGAGACTTGCGACAGTGACGAGGCAGCCCGGCTGCGACACAATTGCATGAAGATGCATGAAGCCTCATGGCTTGGCGTTTCTTTCTCGTAGAACGTCATGGCTTGTGCAGAGGATGTCTGCCTTGCGACAGCATCTTGTGATGCCGATCCAAGGGACGACCTCGACCTCGGCGAGATCGCGACTTTCAGACTGAGCGAAGCTGAGACTACTCGGGCTTGTATAGAACTAGTGCCCGCGCGCAGACTTCTAGATGTCAGGGCTGGTAGGGTCCGTTAGAGTGGGCATGGTGACTTCTCGGATGCACAGGCGACGAGGTCACAGAAAAGAACCTGTGCATGCTGTGGGTTGAAAATTATTCGACAATAAAAAAGAATGATCCTCCATTCTGGCCAGGTCCAAGGGCAGAAAGGACGACGAGAAGGAAGTGAAGCGCACACTTGGCACCACGGCTGCCTGTGGCTGCGGTTCTAGACAGACGTCTTGCCTTTGCGACTGGCCGCCTGAGAGAACCTAAGCTACCAATGTGGAAGATTGCAGTTTGTTTTTGTTTAGCCGTGACCGGTCATCCCTGTCAGCAACACTCCGACCCAGGTTTTGTAGTTCTTCGAGGCTGGCAGGGGTGGTCTTACATGTCAGACGTTGAGTCGGCCCAAAGTCGCCATGTGTCTTTGTAGTTTCGTGAGATGTGGTGAAGCGAGGGCCGGCGCTGGCAAAGTGGCAGAGATGTTCCGAGATTCCGAGATGTTTTTCTACGCACTGTGATTCCACGGCTTTGCGGGCTTTCTTCTGGGCTTGACGAGGTGAGACAATTGTGTCGCTGATGGCAGAGGCATCTTCTCGCCCGTGAGCATTTTAGAGACTCGGTCATTGCCTGTGATGCTGTGTGAGTGTGGGACATAAAGTTTAATTAAGTAGTGGCTGACAGCGACGCACCCTGGCCAACATCTCTTTGCTAGGGGATTCGGCCAAGCTATGAGGAACGGACAGCTTGAGAAGATGATGCTAATTATTTTGCAACGACAGAGTGACAGAGTCACAGATTCTCCATCTGCGCACGAGGCATGTCAATCGTTTCGCAAGTCTTTGGCCGCAGGCACCGCCTCCTTCAGGCCCCAAGAAGCCAGACATCCAGCCAGGGCCTGGCCGTGGGCAGGCGGCTCGGGGCGAAGCCGCACTGAAAAGCTCCTGAATCCTGTTCCGAAGGGACTAAGCACGTGCTTGTGACCCCTCCAAGAAGAGTCGTGCAGTGGCAGGTCGCCGGGCGCGGAATGCCGGCTGCGCCCAAGCCTGAGAGGCTCCAGGAGAGTTCCCGAACCGACTGGACATGAAACAAGTGAGACAGGCTTGCATATGTTCCTGTGACTAGTGAAACAGTAGAAGACAGGACAGGGTGGGCCTTGCTGAACCTTTCTGCCCGTCTGTCGCCTTGCAATGGGAGTGGATAGAAGACAGACATCCACAAGAGCGTTTCCGAAGTTTTTCAGTCTCGTGATTGCATGCAAAACGGAAGCACTACGCTGCCAGCGATTGAGTTTGTACCGCGATAACCTACCATGCAACGGGACCTGATACCTGCTGTACACCCACTTTCTCACCTGGCGATTGCACGAAAGGCTTGCAGCCTGATTCCCAAACATCAAAACTACAACACACCATGAGATTTTGGGACGGTGACGGTCCTGCGGGAAAGCGCTCCCGCGGAACCAAAACCCTGCCAGACCAGAAGGCCCAAGCTCGATACCCTAACCCCATTTCTCCAAAGGTTTTAGGGGTTTTGGCTTGTTCCGGGGCCAGGCCGGAATACTTCAGACTGGAACGGGGAGGGGGGGAGGGGACAATAAGCATGGGAAGTGATATGTAATACGCCAAGCAACAAAGAATGGGCTCTATACCAGACACAGGCAGCAAGGTCATAAGTCGAACTTCAGGAACAAGCTCGTCCTTGTTCGAGGCAGGACGAAGACCTCCCCTGAAAAATTGATGCTGGCAGTGCTTTTGCCCTTCGATCCGAATGAGCAGAAAAAGCGACTCTGGACTAGACCCCAGTGTCGCATTTCTTCGAGAGTTAGCGAACAGTCAGCGCAGCGAGCCCTTTTGTCCATCTCTGTAGGGATGAAGGTGGAATTTGCAGGAATTAGATTCTTGTGTTGATCTTCGCGACCCTCCCCCCGTGCACCCCCACCCTTCGCCCCTCATTGCGAAAGGCAGCTTGCTTGCAGTTTCTTCACGTTGTGCGAAGCATGTGCTCTGATGACGGTCGTTTGCTATGCAGCATGGCAGAGCGGAGCAACTAATTGTCTTTAAGCGGCTCTTTCGAATCGAACGTGCCTGTCCTCGCATCACTGATTTACTCCTCGGTTTCACCTGTCTGTTTCAGAGTTTCGCCCCCGCAAGCATTCTTGGATTCAAAAACTTATTTAGACTTGTGAGTTCACCGAGGCCACTCAGCTCAGCTCCAGCTGGCCTTGCGGGACCAGTTCGTGGCGTGGGTGGCCGCCCGGTCGCGCTTTAACAGCCTATATGACTTTTCGACCAGCGCACGCTCCAATCAAACACAATTTTGAAAGGACCTGCGGCGATCCAGATGCAGCCGAAAGCCGGAGGAGCTTTGCCAGCTCCCGGTGGAGCCCCGTTGGAAGCTTGGGGGCTGACTCGTTTCAAAGGGCTAGGAGGGTGCTTTCTTGAAAGGGCCACTGACTGGATGGAGCTTGCCGTGGCGTTTCATTATGCACTGTGCCGGGTGTCTTCGTGCTCAAGCGTGCCTCCAATTACAGAGACCGGTCCAGTAAACCAGAGTCGTGTGTACTCGGCACAGGCAGGCCTTGTGTACTGCCCGTCATTGTCAGCACATCCAAGCCGACCTTAGTCGTTCTCCAACATCATACTGCAAGCAGTTGTTGCGTCTCCCAGATCGTCAGAGAACCAGAGATGAGCAGAGCTCAAGCCGAGAGACGGGGGGGATCCCGTCGTGTGGTTTGCTTGTTTTGGTAACTGTCCTCCTCGAGGGCTTTCCAGGTTCAACCTTGAGGAGCGGCAAAATGTTTCGGAGAGCTTAGAGCAGAGCTTAGAGTCTAAGAGCGACTCTTCTCAGGCCGGGAATGCCTCCAGGGTTCCCAGCCAGGCCGGTCCGTGCCGCTGTTTTCATCTGTTTTCAAATTTCGCACATGGACGTTCGTCCCCAGTCCGCCTCGAGACGGCAAAACCTTTCTTGCGCTCGTGCATACTCGTGCTTAGGGTTGAAATCTATTCCTTCAGGCCGCCTGGAATGCCGCGAGGAGCCCCAGAGGGCTCGACATGTTCCAGGGCTACCCTTCGGGATGCTTCGGGACTTCAGACTCGCGCCCGGCTCTTTAGTCACAGCTGCTTCTGCGTCCTCGGTGTTTTTGAGGCAGATTCCAGTCCCAGTCATGCTTCTCTTTCTTTCATACTCGTGGCAGCAGGCTTTATCTTGCTGTTGGTTACGCAAGTTGCTCTCGGAGCTTTCTGCCAGTTCAGACTACATGACTACAGAAACAACACGAGTCTGGCGCCGAGGGGAATGGTCCCCCCGGGAATGCCGGGCATGCCTCCCGGTATGCCTCCTCCGGGTATGCCAGGCACATGCTGGTATATTTCACTCATTCGCATCACACATCCGGTCCTGTAGCCTTGCCAGGCATGGGTCGCGGCATGCCACCCATGGGCCGGGGAGCGTGAAGCTTCGGCTCATGAAGCAGAAGCGGCTGTCAATGAGTGTGATGAAGACGCTAAGAGCATGTCAGGCCTGGAACGTCTTGACCAGATCAAGCCACTGCTGCTCCTGCTTTGCTAGGCGGCTGGTTGCAGTGATCGTTTGGCTTCTTCGCAGGCGAGCTGGAAAGTGCACCAATCTTCAACATATTCCTTTTCGTAACACGTTCGGAGCAGCAGTGCGTACGGTAGAGAAGAGATGCGACGGCGAGGTGCAAAAAAGAAACCAATGAGCAGTGCTCAGATAGTGGTGGTGTCAACCGAGCACACACGTGCGTGATTATACATATACATATATATATATATATATATGTATGTATGTATGTGCTCATATATATATATATATATATATGTGTGTGTGTGTGTGTTGCATGTGCCGAGCGTTTCGAAGAGTAGTACGAAGACGGTCGGTCATTGTGCCGAAACAGAGTGCTCTTCGAAGTGATGCGGTCATGGCGAAGGGCTGAATCTACAAGCCTGACGGACAGAGCTTTCGACCACTTTGGGGGGTGGCCGTTTGCGGACTGTGGGACGTTGACTTTTGCTCTTTGCGCTTTGGCCGTGACAGCCTCCGGGCGGGCATGTTCACAGCCAGGTCACCGGTGACGATAGGATGTGCAGGGTATGCACCATTTGGACGCTTGGCTAAGTCGTGGGGTTTACTTGTAGTGTATCTATGTTAGACTAGTGACAGTAATCTTCAGTCGAGCAAGAATATCATTCGCTGTGTGATCGTCACCAGAAATGCTACTTGTTCGAATGTTTCGCAAGATGCGTTGACACTGTGCCACTCTGCACGCAGAAGCTCGCTGGCCCCCGGTTCAAGGGTTCAAAGGGGACGCCCTCCTTCGGCTCTTTGGGGTCTAGAAGACAGCGGCCCTTGAGTGTGGGCGAGTAGAGGAGCTGGCCCCAAGACAGTGGTACTAGTAGCCAGCTACTCGTAGCATCTGCAGCATTGATGCAGCCAGATGTCAGGATGTGGACTGTAGATGTTCGAAGAGATCTTGTCTCAGGAACCCCCAGGCCCTCATTTTAAGGAAGTCGGAAAAGCAACACATGACCGCATGAGCAGATGTCAACAACCAAGAGGTCCAGTTCTTCTTGTGCCGCGGGGGCAGTGCCCTGTAGTTTCGATCAGCATGGACTTGAGGCACGGTAACGCAGCGTCTTGTTGGGCTACAAGGAATTGCGGCTTCACGCGGGTAGGTGGGACTTCCTTTATTTTGAGATGCTTTCACTTCGGGAAGTCCAGTCGCCCTGGTGCAGCTCTGGGCCCGTGAATAGTATCAGGAAACACAGAGAATGGCGAGACTTCAAATGGCTGACCAGAAAAAAGTTCCTGTGACAGGCCACCGCCTCCACCCATGGGCATGAGCTTAGCCGCGACCACAGCATTGCTTCGTGGGGTTGCCTGGAGTATTACTCGTTTCTGGTTGCAAAATAATTTTCTTCCGGGCGCCTTGTTGCACAGTGATGCATACTTGGCCTTATCTGGAAGGCCTTTGAGTCATTGAGTCATTGAGGGCAAGAGCAACAAATAGCTCATTACATTGATACGCAGCCCCTCTCCACGCCCAACTTGGCCATACAAGATTGGGTAGCTACCATTTCCCTCCTTGCCAGTCGTGCACCTCTCCACGAGGAGGGCTGCACTTAGGGAACCACTAAGCCCACTAAGCTAAGAGCCGGTGTAGGCCCAGCAAGCGCAGCAGCTCCAGAGCGCCAAGTTCATGCCGGCCCCGAAGCTGCCCCTCGGCTGTTTGGGACACGAAGTCTCTGTCATGTCGAGTACCGGAATTCCAGAGCTCATTATGCCTATGGGGGGGATTTCAGCAAAGATATACAGTAGTGCCTGATCACCATAACGATGTGAAGCGAGACATAGGACATGTCATTATAGTCTTGTAGAAGTTCGGCGGGAGCTACCGACGAAGCACCGGGAACTCGTTGTTTTGGCGGCTGCATGGTGAAATGCACATGGAGAAATGTGAAATGTGCATGCAAACGACCTTCCTGGGGAATAGACTACGACTGCGATTCAAAGGGGAGTCGTTGCGAATTCGCATCGAAGACGAAGACACGAGCTTGCAATAAGGGTCGATGAAACTTGGAGGTTCTTGACGCATGGAGGTAGGATGACGTGTGCACAGCAGAAGTGGGCAAAGCAGGCACAGGCCAGCGTGCACAAGGCTAAATCTTCCAAATCAAATCCCTTCTCTAACAGCGACCAAAGTAATGCAGCAGTGTTGAGGTCGTTTCAGTCATCCTGTCGGGTCTTTCTTTTCGTCAACTACATAATGGCAACTTATTGTTGGACTGCCTGCTGCCACCTGATTCTCCGTGAAAGTTCGTGTGGCAAACATTGCTTGCCTCTGAGGCCTATTAACATGGGTGGTGAAGCACTCAGACACCACTGCACCATTTGAGCATCGGGTTTTACTTTTGGCTTCTGATTCAGATGTACTTCAGGACTAAGCTCGTGTCTGCACGGTCCGCACTCGTAAATTCGATTGTACAGGTTAAGCAGTTGCCTCACAAGGGATATATCTACGTATATAAGCATAATATTGCGCTCTGTCTTGCTCTCTCCGTAAGATTTTCCGCATTTAATCCGCTTCAGTTGATACAACTACTTGTTGCTCTCTGCACAGAGAGGGTCGATGGTACCTGAAATGAGGCATTGAGCGGCCCATCAGAGCCGAGGAGTTAACTCGACATGTCGTCTTAGTGGGCTCATCCAGAAAGGTCGCGTGTAGCTTGTGCATCAGTCACCCAGTGGTACCTGAACCAAGAACTTCACGGCTGTGGCTGTGGGCTGCAGTTACATAAACCATGGCAACCCAACGATAAATTGAAGTCATGAGTAGATGAAGGGGAGCCGCAACTCGGCAAACGTAGAACCGATCAGTCTTGCTGGCTTCTTCGCTGGCACGGCATGTGAAGGCTCGCCGCAAATGGGAGGCATGGGGCAGCAACCTTGGCAGGGCGGAATGCCAGGCAGGGACACCGCGGAGTGTAATACTACGGTGCCAAGGTTAAGGCAGAAAAAGGCATCCGGCTGTCGCGAGCATTGTCGGGAATGGGAACTTGCACACTCAGAGCAGCACCTGTTTACCCACCATTACCCACCATTGTGGAGCTGCGCGTCAGAACCCGACTTCTTGTAACAGCTTGACGCCGTCGAATCAACCACATTGTACACATTCCATCAAAATCGGGGGAATAGCTGCGGATCAGTCTTCTACTGTAGCATGTCCCTCGCTGGCAAAGTCTCCGCCGTAACAACTGCAAACTAGGTTCTGCCTACATCTTGATCTTCGCCGAGCCTTCATGTGTGAGATTCGTTCTAGACAGCCAGGTGGACTCGGTGTCGGAGGAATGCAGACGCAGCCAATGTTCAGATCTCGGCTAGAATCGGGCAAAGGCTTCTGATTTTCGGTAATTAGCACACTTCTTGAAAGAATGAATTGTGACTCTTGAGATGAGATTCGCTGCTATTTGATCTGACCTCATAGAGCGAGATCTTGCGGCATCTTCAGACACATGCTGAGAGCGTGCGTGATGCCACTAGCCACCTGATCACTGTTCGCCTTAAGCCATCCTGAAGCAAACCTTCTCGACTCCACTGATTTCTACAACTTGCGATCCATTGCCGAACGATGTGCCGACAGTCTGTTTGACATTCTGCCGCCAAGCACAACCACCAGGTCCAACGGTTTGCAGCAATCCAACATGGGAATGAAAGGCCAGTGCCTCGGCGATTCCACTGCAGTGTCGTGCAGTGTCACGCAACCATGCTATAGTTTTTTTAACTACTCTATGACCGCATTCTCAGACATGGTGCTAGCACAATCTTCCTGAAGCCCTGAGCCCGCCCATCTGTATATCCTGCGATCGGGAGGTGGGATGCGGCCGAACTGGGGCAGTATGCCACCGCCACTTGGCAGCACAGCATCTCGACGCCTTGTCAGCAGTCTGGACGTTGCACTATCACCGCCCCGAAAAACCGGATGCGGTTCACGTGACATCGTGCTGAGCTTGCTGGTCACATGCCGAAGAATGCACCAAGGCAGCAGCAGTTTGGTCCGGGCATGCAGCAGAACTTTTCCCAGCTCGGGCCTTAAATCTGGAGGGGAGTCTCTCGGAGAGGCCTCGCTCATTTTGCCCTGAGGCCGCAGATGTTCCCGCAGCAGCAGTCCCTCGACTGCATCTTGCTCCGGCCGCAGGGCCATATGCTACAGCCTCCATCCATGTTGATTTTCAAGAACTTCGGGAATTACAGGCAACCTCCGCCACTCCTGCAGCCCAAGCACAAAAATCGCTCCAATGAGTGTTTCACAGTTTGCAACAGAGCTACTAGAAGCTTTGGCAATCCAGACTTGCTGCAAGGCCAGTTGGCATGAGAGGCTCCTCAGCGGGCTCGCCAGGTGGACTGCAGCGACAGAGCCGCGACTGAAAATAGATGGGGCTCCGGCATCGATGTCGCACCGGCTACTGCAGCCATCGCGATGCGTGCAGAGTATCGCTCGTGCATCGAAGGAACAGCTACGGAAATCAGGGCGGACAAGGTGGGCTCAGCAGAGGAAAAGTTGACTTCATCCTATAGGACGGGGTTTGAAGTTCGAGAGCCTGGACCTGAGGTGAGCACCGTAGCTAGCCTCTGAGAAAGCTCTGACAGGTGTGGGCCCGGGCAGTGGTCTTTCGAGCCCAGGCAAGGGACCGTTTACACGTTCTGATGTTGGCAGAACAGGATAAGCCCGAGTTGCCGAATTTGGACTAGCTCCATTGGTCCATGCTGCATCCATCGCAGGTATCAGTCAGCCGCAGGCCTGCCGGCAAGCCAACGTGAAACCTGGGTTTGTTCGCCGTGTTGCTCTTGTTGTTGTAAGACTGGTTGGTACTGGGAGGGAAAAGGCAAGTTTCAAGGTCCGGCGCTCGGCCAGGACAGCGGTGATTCCTAGACGCGTTATACTTAGCCGCTCGTTGTTGTCGGTCCTTGCATGCTTAAACTCCGAGCTTCCTCTTCTCTACCCAGCTTCAATCGTTTTGGGGTGCGACGGGCCGGGAGCTGAACAGAGTCAGGCATCAATCGTGTCTGCGTTCGATTTGTCTCTGAATCTACCAGTCCAGCACTTCTAAAGAGAAGGTCTCCACTTCAAGCTCGTGGGACCCAGCGATTGAGAGCTGAATGGCAGGTTGTTCCGCCTCCCCCTGCTGGTGGACCTCCACCTGGTATGCAGTATGGACAATTTGGCCTGCCCAGTTCGGCCCCAAGCAAGTGTGCACTGCAAGCTAAGTACCGGCCGAAAGCTGCATGGTGAGCATCGGAGGGGCAAGCAAGCGACGATCGTTTGGCTAAGGTCAGCAACGGTCGCTCACTCCTCAGAGTTGTGCTTGACACCCCCAAAGTCTCGCTTGTACAGTGCACTTGCAATGGTTTTGTACACGCTGCAATCCACGCATGTGCATGCAAGCTGCCTGCCCTCACCGTCAGCAGTCTATCCGGTCCTCCTCCACTCTTGGCAAGATCCAGCACCTGCCCTCCCCCAGGCGAGCGGGAGCACCCCCTCCGCCACCGCCTCATCCGAACTGGAAGCCTGGTCAACCCCCACCGCCTCCTGGCCCGGGCCTTGGCTCTACTCCTGTGCCAGCGACGAGTCATATAAGAAAACCGCGGTCTGCAGAGACAGCGTCGTTCACAGATGACTGGCTGGCTGACCCGGTAAATTCATGTGCTGCGTGTCACGAAGCAATCATTCAAAACAGCATAGTTTCCTCTTCAATACTCTCTGTCATTCCGCTCACGAGAGGTCCTGGTCCACCAGAGCGAAAACCCGGAGGTACGCTCCAGGCGCACTGCAGTTTCACCGCAGTGGGCTTATCTCGTGATAACGGCAGCATCGCGATCAGGCGGCCATGGCCGCAGCGGCAGCACTCGGTGCGGTCGGGGCCTGAGCATCGAGATGGATTTGAATTTGGAGGGGGAGTTTTGAGATTCAAAACAGAGCACTGTTGTCTGGCTCGCGAGTGCTGGCTCTACAAACTGCTGGAGGCGTCAGGACTTTGTGGGATTTGCGGGGTTCGGATTCCTCTGCTCTCTGCCGAGGCTGCACCTGGCATGATGGAGGCCCTTTTTTGGTGCCACAAGCAGCAGACGTTGGCCGGCAAGTTGAGCATAGGGGCAGTGTTGATAGCGCAGTGGTGACTATGATGTTGTGCTGTCGAGGCGACTTCTGCAATTGACTTTACTGCGAAGTTGGAGGAGCGTTTGCCGCTTCACTCACAGCAGCTCCCTTCATTGCAACAGGGTGGCTGCAAACTCGTTCTGCTGAGAGGACTTGAGAAGAAAACATCCGCAGGCTTGGATGTCCACACGTGCAGATCTGCCTGAGGTAGGTAGGTGAGCTGGGTTTGAAAGGTAGACAGACTGAGTGACTCGCGATAAGTGTCCGGTAGTGAAATCAAAAGCTCAGTGAAATGCGGTCCTCAGTGGCACATCGTCAGGTAAAGGTGCCATCGGATGCCGGGTGCCGAGAGACACGAGTATGGCAAGTCTCTTCCCAACGCCACAACCGCCTGAGCTCAGCTTGTTCAGGCATTTACCTGGAAGCCGGAAGAGTTAGAGGCCTGGTTTGCAAGCGGCGGTACCTCCAAGGCCCGCAGATGCCCATGGTGCCATGGTCCAGACAGCTGCGAACATTCTTGAAATCGCAGGAAGATCCGAATAGTTGGAGCATGAAAGGGGTCTTCTGTCTCTACACGAGTCGACGCATGAAGCCTGGACGAGAGCCCGACATGACGATCCACTTGCGCACTGCGCCTGACCCGATTGCCACCCTTTTTGAACCTATTGCCAGACTGCACCGGCACCGGCGCCCGCGGCCGCGGCACCACCTGCAGAAGCACAGACGCCGAAGAAGCGTTCGCATAGTAAGGCCGGGTGGGATCTAATCTACTACATACTTATGAAGTTTATGAAGCTTTGCTGTGGAGCCTCCCTGAAGCCTTGCCCCTGGCCCGCGCTTTGCAGGCTTTTGGCTACGAGGTTGATGAGGCACTCCAGTTACAGCCAGGTCCCAAGACACGACAGGACCGCAGCACGTGCAGGCGAAAGCTGATCAATCAATCGAGAGCAGTCGAAATCAGGCAGCAGCTGCTCACCGGTTTTTCGGACCCCGAGTTCCAGGCACCACATGACTGCGTGGCTGTTGCTCGTTCACTTGCGAAGTTTTCAGAGATGCACCCCTTTGGGGTGAGATGTCCGGCCTAGAGCATGTGATGGCAAGGAAGGGGTGCACGGAGTTCAAGTTTGAAGGAAGCTCTTCGTCCAGCATTGCTAGCAGGAGAACCTGAAGAAGCTGCAAGCCCAGTACCCGGAGCGCAAGACCAAGGGCCACTACGACAGCATGTCCTATTTCGAGGCGGGGCCTGGAGGGAAGGGGACTTTTTGGCCGCTCCCCTGCAGGGAAAAGCGGTCTGGCCCCAGTGGCCCCAGCCCCAGCCTGGGCCCATGGGAGCCTGCGGTAAGAAAAAGGCTAAAGTGGGGAGGCGGGGAGGGGGATGAAAGGTGCAGCATCCGTTTTCAGTGTCCCGCTTCCCAGGCCACCGGCCTTGGCCCACAGGGTCTCACGGTCAGATGGTCAGCTCACGGTGCTCAGTGTGACGGCAGTCGTAGAGGACACACTGCTGTGTGGTTGGGTCTCTGTGTGCACTCTTCCACGTCGAGAATTCTAGACTCGAGCCTCCGTCCTTGCTCTGAGAGTTGTAGGGCAGCAACTCTCCTCTGAGTTAAATGTAGTGCGTTGCGAGATCTGTGGCACAGTTTCTGGCTCTGTCCAGCTGCACTCCTTCAGGGAGCGTGCCTCCAGTAGAGCTTCAAGCTTGCGCCTGTGCAAGCTGGGCGCCAACTTTTTGAGGTTGCCATTGGGCAGCCGAGCTCTTCCAGCTCCTCCTCTTGCGGCAGGAAGGTACAGAAGGATTGGAACATCGCCAGTGGAACCGTGCAACCCCCCCTTTCACTGATCAACAGATGGAAGTAGCGCTAGCGCCTTCAGCCAAGCCGCTCTAGGCGAGCTTGTACGTAGCCCCATTCAACCGCACTCCCTCCGGAGTTTAGCGCTTCCAGTGCGGCTCAGGCGATGTGGAGATCGGATATGCCGGAGGAAGTGTCTAGACGTAGCGCTGTTCGGCAAGTTGCGTGTCGTGGTAAGCTGCACTTTTCATGCAGTCTATTCTAGGAAAGTTCCTGGCTTCGTTTGAAGCGTTTGTAGCCCAAGCCCATGGAAAGATTGCGCGTGCATAAAGCGGGCGTGGAGAGCATCTGCAAAGCCGGCCCTTGCACCCAAGGGACACCGTGTGCCGGCAGGCTTCCTGGGCTTTCTGGACCGAAGGTCGCTGAGCCAATAAGTGGTCGTGCCCTGTCGTGCCCATCGACCATGCTGCATTGGCTTGAAGTCATGCTAGGCTTCGTGTCGGAGGTTGAGATATATAGTAAGGACATCTGCTAAGCATTGTTGTTGTGCTTGGGAATGGGACCCATCCATTCTGCAGCCGAAATGCCCTGTTCCTGTCAAGACAGGGTTCTGCTGATGCAGGTTCCGAGCGCCTGCGCGACCGATTTGTGGTGGCTTCGCTGCCCGATCGTTTCACCCAAGTTCTACTGCTTGTGGATCGCATGTCTCTCGTTCGCCCTGCCGTGACTTGCCTTTTCCTCCTCCGCCCCTAGGGTAGATAGGTTTGGGTGGCTCTTACTTGAACTCCAAAGCTCCCCGCCGCCTGGACTCCAAGAAGCCCGACCTGCTCTGTCTCCATGTGCTGGGCAGGCCTTCAATGCGCTGGCACATACTGTCTATGCGAAGGCCTGGGGCCGACAAAGAAACTGCGAGAAGTTCTAGGGAGCTCCGTTTTGAGAATTGATTGCAGGTTCTCCCAGATTGGAAGCTGGCGCCAAGCTGGGATGGCGTAAGGGAGATGATCAACAAGATGTCGGATGCGCTGCTACATCCCAAGGTGGATCGACAGAACTAGTGACCATAAGGCCATTAGGTTCAGACACGAGTGCCTGTGGGAGCGACACGAGTGGTCTCTCGCAGGTCAAAAAAGTGCAGGAAGAGATCAACATGATGATGGGCCTGCCAGGGGCCTGTTGCGCATTTTCTCAGCATTCTGCAGCACTCGTACCAGCCCGCGCCGAGGCCAAGAAATGCACAGTTCGTGCCGCATCCTGGCTGAATGGTAGCCCTTGTTGCATGACGGGATCACAACATGACGAAGATTTGTTATGTTACGACTTGCAAGACTTGTCCTACACGAGAGAAACTGACCGGGAAGCGGAGTTCAAGTCAAGGGATCCAGAGAGCCTCTGGCCTCTGTTCAGCCTCAGGCAACAAGATTGAGAAGTGTCAAAGACAACCTCTTCAGATCCTTCATCATACTCTAGCCCAGACCTAGCCAATAATTTCCTGCATCGTCTCAAACCTCAGCCGCCTTTCTCCATGTTGGAGTGCACGAACACCTTCCAAAACGAGGCCCTCCAAGGGATCCGAGCTGTTCCTCTACAGGCTCTGGACCCTGTCTTCAGGGGTGGGATGCTAGTGCTGCTAGCGTCACGATCTAAAGGCTCCGAAGCTGAGCTCAAGCGCAAAGCCTGGCCTTTGGAATCTCGCGCGTCCTAGAGCCTCGTGAGAGCTCGCTTCTACGGCACTGCTATGGCTTCATGAGTCTTCGTTCCTATCTGTGGAGATGATTCAGTCCAGTCTGCTGGCCAGGCCCGATGGCGATGCGCCAGTTGGAAGATCTTCGTTACCTTTGTTTCAGGCCGGACCTCCCAACGTGCTCAGCCCCGCCTCAACGTGAAGGGTCATCCCCGGTCACAAAGCAATATCTGGCGCGAGCCAATATGAAATCGCGATTGTCCTTCTGTGTAACTGCGGAAGAAAGCGGCGATGAAGCCGCCAGGATGAAGATGGCGACGAAGCACACGAGTTCCTGATTGAAGATCAGGACCTTGGCACATGACGGTCTTTGCAATGCAAGCGAAGGGCTCACACAACCCAGTCTAAAGGCATTGCAATCACTCCTCGGGAGTGTGCAGGAATCCGGCGAGCTCAAGGTCCAAACTTCCAGTCTGAAGCAGGACCGCAAGGGCTCCGGATGCACCTGCCCTGCCCGTTGGCCTTGTCCGAACGGAGCAACGACTGCATTGAGGAGATGTGGTACGTTGTTGTCCACAAACCTGCAGTCATGATTCGAGAACAGCCTGATGAGAAGGCCCGCGTGCGTGGGACAAGTTCGAAATTACACTGAAGTACACACAGGTGCGCGAGTGTAAGTATCGATTTGTCAGGCCAAGATGGTTGGCCGCAAGAAGGCTGGGAAGATGGCAGCCACCCATGCGATGCTTGCGTGCGAAGAAGTATGCAGCTACCAAATTTGTTGTGTAGGCTGGCAAAAGGCTGAAGGTTCAGCACGTGAAGGCCAGCCAGCCCGTGGGAGATTTCTGAACGGTTTCAGATTTTTTGTGCCATATTGAGGACCCAGCATCGAGCTGCAAGATGTCAGCATGTTACTTTACAAGCTTGAGTGGAAGTTTGCGTGTATCTACTAAACAGACACGTTCTTGACAAGACCCTTGAACACCGACTCATTAGGTTTCAGGCATCAGTCCACATGGGGGACTACCGCTGGCTGGAGTGTGTGGAGTGCAGAGCCTTTTGCAGGATGGTAAGTGGTTGCAGCTGGACAATTCCGAGCTGGTGAAGCTTGGCGTCCAGGAGGCACTCCTTGCTGCTCATGATGGTCCCTAAGCATGGACTCCGCTCCTGGCAGGCATGGGTCTTGATGGACCCAGTCGAAGCAGGACTGCCTCCCGGTCAACCTTTGCCACTTGGCGGCAGGCAATTCCAACAAACAAAATTGTGAGTGAAGCTTCGCTCGTTCTTCGGCTTCCTTCCGAAAACAAGACTGCACCAGCATGCGACTGAGGTTGGAAAAAGTGGCAGCATGAGCACGCCATCACCTGCTCGTGGATCCGTCTTGCCTGAGCAAACCTGCATATCGCCTATGTGTAGTGCACTTGCGTCGCACAGCACTGGTCCAGCAGAGAAGGTACGACTCTGAATCTTGCTAGGCACTAGTTAAAAGACACTTGCAGAAGGATCGCTGCTGCTCAAGTGCTCATTCCATCTAGGTCTGGCGGAGCATAGCAGGTGCCTCAAAATCGCCTCGAAGCCAGAAAGTAGAGTGTGTCCGTTAGTTAGTCTTACGCCGGTGCCTGCTTCCCGCTTGCTTTTCCTCGAGGCAAGGAAGCACCAAAATGTATGCTCGCCACAAAAATCAAGAGCGGAGCTGCCTCAGTGCTTCGGGTGACTGAGTGCTTCAGGTTTTTGCGCCGTTCCCGAGACCCGTAATCTCGCAGGTTGACGAGCTTTGCAGGTACATCCTGATTTGTACATGTTTGTACTTGTACTAAGTTCAAGCCGGCCCGTCCTGCAGTAGTGGCCTTGTGCTCCCCAAGTTACCGTAGCTGCCACAACGGCACACAGGCTATTGCCGTGCAGTTTCGCCTGAATCAGACCGTAGTCGTGTAGAGGAAGGCACAAAGTTTCGAAGTGCATCGTGGAACTGCATAGGAAATAACGAGAGTTGTCATGGTTGCTCGGCTCGTTGTATGGCGAAGCATTCGTGGCTCACTAGAGCTTCTCGGGCATGGAGATCTCACTGGCAACGAGGAAGGTATGCCATCAACTGCCAGCAACTGAATTGTCGTGGCATCTCAGAGATCCACGTCCATGGACGAAGTATGGCGAAGTGATGGGGCTCAGCATTGAAGCGAAGTGAAGAATCGAAGCCATGGCCGCAGGGCCAAGCAGAGGAAGGGCCGGATCCGAGCTGCCGCCCATGCGCTTTGATGTTATTCGCACGGGCTGTGTCCGTGGGATGGTGGGAGGCCCAGGTTTGCCACCGATATGCTCGAGCGGCCAAGAGCTCTCGACGTCAATAAATCCAAGTCAACCCGAAAGCTCCAGCTCCTCTCCGCATGTCAGCGGTCTTACCACGAAGATGTATGAGTGACAAGCTTTACAGAAGACTGATTGCTCCTATGATCTCCTATAAAGGTTAGTTCAACCTATCCCACGCCAAGGTTCGTTTTGCCAGTAGCACGTGGCGAAGAGGACAGGGCTGGATGCGATTCGACACTGCTCGGCTTCGTGCATCGAGCAAGGAGACGTGCGACTTGCCGAATCCTGGTGAGGCAACGCAGAAACGCTGCACTTCAGTGGCAACAAGATGCTGATAAACCAGCCGCGAGAGAACAACTTCCAGGGCGCGGGATTCTTGGAACTTCTTGCCCAGGCTTCTCTTTCCGAAGAGACAGGGTCATGGTTACACAGGCGGCACACATGCAAAGGAAGGTGGGGCATCTCAAGGCGCCAGGGGCATTGACGTGAAACGAGACTGGCCATGTAGTGACGAACAACTATGGATTGACCCTGCAGCGGTAAGTCTGTCACGGCAGCTTATGGCAGCTTTTGTGCATCCAAGGTGAACGGAGCTGCACGGAATTGAATGCATTTCTTCGCATGCGCACAGACTTCGAGGCACAAGGATTCATGCATGTCAACATTGGGTCACGACATGGTGCGATCCAGACGAAAGTAGCCCCTAAACTCCCTCCCGCTAGCCTTCATGAGTTCGGCAGCATTCCGTAGGCGATCGATGTGAACGTCTTGCGGGCAGCGGGTGAGATGAACAGCCACTCTTCTCTTGGAGCAGGGCTCGATCTTTCTCGGATTGAGAGGCATCAGCTGGAGCATGCGGAAACTAGGAGGGCTTGACTGTTGGAACTGGCTCGACTTACATCAGACCGAACGATCCGCTGCTCTCCGGCTCAGGCTGGTTTTGGTGCCCGGCTGCTTTCCGAAGCTCGGCTTCGAAGGCTTCTCCTCGTTCCGGCCATGCCAGCGCCGTGTCAACGAGGGGCAGACCTTAGATAGCCTCGCATCTCAAGACGACGTGTGAAATAATCCCGCGCCTCATCGTGTAGTCTTCGCCCTTTTCCCTGTAGCAGAGCAATAGCTGGTTTTGCTCGGACAAACGATGACAAGAAAAACCACAGCACAACGTGGTTACTTGACAACGCTGGTTAGCTGCTAGAGAACGGTATCCATTGCCAACTTCCTCAAATTTGTAGATCATGTCCTAGTGCTATCCTGTTGTCCTGCACCCTTCATAATATGTGCAACTTTACGCCCCAGAGCTCTGAGACTTACATTCAGGAGGTATCGGAGTTCAGAGTCGAGGGTACCAAAAACGGTGTGGTGCTAGGACTGCTAGGATGCTAAAGCAATAGCGGAACGAAATGTTAGGTCACAAATGGTAGAGTACAGTCTGTGAGTCGGGGTCCTTTGTGTTTCCGGAGGGTCAGTCTGTAATGAACAATTTCTCGGATGCCTCGGAAACCCCTGTCGCTCTCTGCTTAGTCATGCTCCTCTCGTTCTCTATTAGCAGTTTCTCTTTCTCGCGAGAGCCCAGTATCGCCACCGGACCTTAAAACCCCACGCCCCATCCCTAGTCGCCTTAGCCTTATGATGAGACAAGCTTCGCAATCATTGGCGTTTTGGATGTTTTCCGAAGCCTAAGGGAGCATGATAACATGGACACGTTGCTAAGGCTGCTAAGGTGCGTCCTTTTGTTGAGAACTGGCTCGTGCTTGCTTTGCGTCCCTGCATCGGTCTCATATTTCGTGTCTGCATGCTACTGTATTGTCTCGCAGAAATCCCTTCATTGTTCCTCGCACTGTATGCACTGTACTAAGCTCGGTCAAGCTCCCGATGTTTGCTCCGTTCATTTCAGGAAGCTTGCTTTTCTCGCAGCTGGCCAGTGAGATCAAGAAAGTCCCGTGCCAAAGCTGAACAATTTGCAAGGAAGGGCAGAAGAGCGCATGCAAACACTTGCTGACTGTCTCTGGGAGCGAGAGTTGTGCAGTCTGTAGACCAACTCGTAGGACATTCCGAAGCATTGCTCGAGCCCTATTGCAGCGCTGTTCCCACCAGACATAGGCGTGACGACACTGGGCGCCGCCACGCATCGAAGGCCATCCTCGCCGCTGAGGCAGAGGAGCCTTGCAAAGCTTTTCCTTCCGTTGGTGACTGCTCTTCACCCAAAACGAAGTTGGGGCATGGAGGGTGCTGGCGGTGCTGGAAGCAGTTTTGCGTATTCGAAGACTTTCTCTCGACATCTCTCGACCCAGTGCAGGCTGCCGTTCAAGAGCTTGTACTGAAGAACATGTCAGGCGCCGTCAATTTTCGGGCTGGCTGTATGGACGGCATCAGGTTCAACTGGCAAAGTGAACAGGTTTCCGGTTTTCCTACTTTTGAGCACATACCCTGGCAATTTTGCACTTCCCATCATCTCGGCAATCATGTTGATCCTATGTTTGCTGCTGCACTGTTCAGGCATCTTTGCCAGTAGCACTTCCTTCGCCCCCTGGTTCCACTTCGGCGCGCCGCTCGGGTTCTTATTCAATCTTTGAGGCAGTGCTTCATGCTTCTGGTCTTTGTTAATTTGGCCATGGGCAAGATGATTCACAGAGGGTCTGCTTCTTATGACACGGACTACGCAGTGTGCGTTTCCACAATCAACTGTTAGTCCCTCGAATGAGGGGGGAAAAGAGGGGTGCTTCACCCGCTGAAAGATTTTTTTGCAGAAGCACCTGCAACCGATGTTGGACGCACGAGTCACGCTTCAACTCGAAGGAAAGCCCATAATCCCAAAACAGTTTGCGAGCCAGCTCACGATGTTGCTTTGCCATGCTTTGCCAAACATTGTAAAGCCGCCTAACTCTTTCATGACGACCTAGTGCAGCCTCGAGCCACTAGAGCCGCTGCACGCGCATGAGCCCATCGATCGGCAAGCTGAATGGAGGGTTCACTTTGACCAGTCGAGGCTTTTGCATGCCATGCGTGTGCCTTGGCTGGCACACTGGTTCAAAAAGGCAAAGAGGTTGCATGGACGAAACGTGTGATCGAGTTAGAATCCTAGGGCCCTAATTATCTGGGCCTTTTTTCTTAACTTCGGGCCAATGCTGGCACGTTTAGCCTGACCGCCACCCAGGACAAGTTCCCCGAGTTTCTAATGCTCCGGGGAGCAGCGACGAGACAGGACTCCTCCGCAGGATTCTTGTCGTGCAGTAATTGGCGTGTTGACGGTTTGGACAAGCAGTCGACACATGTGCTGTTTCCGTGGCTACATGGCCATTCCACACTTGCAACCTTCAGGATCCAGATGTTTCGAACTGATGGGTAGGCCTCCAACACGTATACAGCAGCAGCATTTGTTGATCGGAGGTAACCCCTGCAGCAAGCATCAGAACCCTCAGACAGCCTGCGCGACGAGCGACGCAAGCAGCAACACTCCGAGCGGAACATGTAGAAGCTTCGCAATCCGCTAGCCAAGGGCATGCGTTGCGCTTCGCTTTGAGAAAACATCTCAGCTCGGATGCGCCTGCTGAAGGGCCGATGACGTTGCTTGCCAAGCAGTGGCCAGGCAGGATCCTGCGGGACGACTCGTGCTGACATGTAGATCAGGACTAGGAGATAATCGGAATGCTTGGAGTTGGCTTGGGCCAGAATTGGTCCAGAAAGATGAGCAAGCACAGCGACAAGGGCGCTGTTCCACAGGTCATGTGTTCTCAAGCTTAGAACGAGCTGCCCTTCGATTTGCTGACGCAGAGACTTGGAGTGCAAGACCATGTTCGATGTCGGTCAAAGATTTCTCTTGATACACGTGTCCTCGTGCTTTGGGCGGCAGGGGGATTCAATAACTATGCACTCGGGTTTGAGATGAAGGTTTTGGGGCTCAAGGACAGAGAGAGGATGTGCTTCCAGGCTACTCAGCATCGAGCAGCAAAGCAGAACATATCGTGCATCGATGCTGCCAGGATGCTGGGCGCGCATGCCATTCTGGTGAGGTTTTGCATCGGAAGTGCTCGGCCGCCATGCTTCCTCCACTGCTTCGCCAGCTGGAGCATGCTTGTAAGGCGAATTCCGAGACCTCCACAAACTTTCTCAGCCAGCAGCTTGAGTGCCCGATCCATCCCAACTCCATCCAACCCACTATACAGGCCCCTTTGGTACAAGTACAGAGTCCCTCCCTCAGAGAGTTTCAGTCCCAGCTTTTGGGCTGAACCAGAGGCTTTGAGAACTCGGCGCCAACTTGAACCCTGCGAGCACCATCACAGCTGGGCGACCATGCTGAGGATTTTCTGACATACTGCTCATGATTCCTGTTCTATTGTTACAACAATCCCAAGACTAGCTTCAGCAATAATGCTGGTGACATCTCCAGCTTCAGAACTCTGGCCCTGCAAATAGCCGTACTTCGGTTCTTGTACCTTACTGTAGGTACAGGAGATAGAAATTATGGTGGCGCAGAGGTTGTTGTTTTGGCAATACGGCAATAGTTCCCCGACCAGCAGGAACAGCTGCTATGTCAAAGCTGTAATGTAGTAGGGCTGACCGCAAGACAAAGGATGACATGGCCGCTGATTTCCAGCACATTGTCCGGGCTGCAAATGCGTCGAATCCTGACGCCAAGGACTTCGTCCGCACCACCAGGGCTCCTGGCATTGTCGGGCTTGGCGGTGCCCCGAGTACTTCCCGCGACGAGCCTCGCTCGGCATTGTGTTTCGGCATTGTTCTTGGGGGGAATACCGCAGCTGCGATATGCTGCTGCCAAGGAAATGAGACAGCTACTGCACAGAGGACAAGGTTTCCTCCTGCAGGCTTACCGGCAGACCAAGGCTGTGACACCACATTCATGATTGCAGAGTTGAACAGTGCCAGTGAGTTGCGCAATTTGATCTCTTGATATATGGCTGACAGCAAGCGCATTGGGCTACGATGATGTGCGTGGCAGCACTCCAACTAGATGCTGCTTGCTGACTTGGAGCCACTGTCAAGCCCGGCGGAGGCATCAGCGGGGACGTCGGGGCTGACCAGCATGCAGCTTAGCTTCGGCAGCGAAATGTCGCCACACCCGGTCTTCCCGCAGATCCAATGACTCTGCCTTGTGTGACATGACACCAAGACGTCAAGATTGACGAAGGCTTTTAAGTACTTGGCCCAGTCGCCAGAAGGCCTCAAGAAGTCCAGGAGAAAACAGTTTGTCCTAGCCCAGCAGTGTTCCTTGCCATTCAATAATCTCCACGCCCAGCGAAGGAATACGGGGGACAGTACTCAGGTCTATTCATTCCTGGGCCGCCTTAATGTATACATTTCCGAGCTCCTGAAGAGTTTCCAGGTAACCTGCCCAGATGTATAAATTAGGGAGGCCTAGTGTTTGTTGCATGAAAGCCGGAATGTTCAATGAACAAACCAGATGAAACCAGGTACGGTCTCTTCACGCTGATGGGTCAAGCCGAGGCGGTGGCATTGACCTGTGGACGCAAACACAAGAAGGTATTGTCAAGCCCAGCTGCGCTTCCATTGAACAAGCAAGCGGTGTAATGGTGCCATCCAGGGCCGAAGTACGAAGTTGTTTAATGCCGAGGGACGTTTCCCTTCCGCTGATGACGCATGTCCTAGCTAGTTGAACCTCGCAACTTGACACCGTTCGGTGCCAAGCCGATTCTGATCGAATGGAGACTTCGATTGCGAGGTCCCCCTTTTTGAGCTGTTAGACCGCCTGGACAGCCAAGTCCTCGAGGAGATCTACTTGCCGGACAGGGGGGGGTTTTAAGTCTTTAGCACAGCCCACACAGGGTGTCCGATGTCTTCAGTCGGGCAAGACAGCTTGGATGGAAAACTTGCCGAACCGCTTGCTGATTAGTTCGACTCATTCTGAGAATTGGGTTTTGTGCATGTCTCCGCATTGCGGTGTTGAGACAACTATCCAAGCCAGAAATCAGAATGACAAGCTTGCAGATGCAAAGTACACGAGTGACAGTGCAAAGTTCCGCGTCGTAGTAGGAAGCAATCAAAGTCCAGTTGAAATGGTGAGGAATCCAATTGCGACATGCCCAGAACCTGTCATCCCGTCCCCAATGGCACCTTTATCGACCATTCCGGTAACTTTCCAACGTAATCTATTGCGCCTGTCCTTCAGCTGCAGGACTCGGTGACCCACAGCGCCTCTCCCTTTTATGTGCACGTGCTCCCAACACGGAATGTCGAGTCAAATCACGTGCGGACGTTCTTCAATCTGCATTGTGCAGCTCGCATGAATCGTAGGAGACAGGTTGTGCGCAGACCTTGAAAGCTAAGATTTGCACGCAAGAAACCATCGGCACTCTGGCAGTGTGTTCATCATGTCATGCCCGGATGAGGGACCTCCACAAAGTTCCTTTGTCCGAGGACCAAACCTTCAAGGACCTCGTTTCGGAGCATCGAAGCCTACTGCGGCCGCTAACGGTCGTGGAGATCCTTTGTCAATTGTCTTAGAAGCGGCTGCATGTTGCAGCCTGCTGGCTGCTGTATTGGGGCGTTCGCTGTTTGCAGCTACAACTGAGGATCGGCAGCCATTTGGGAGGCCGATTGCCGAGCAAACATGTTTCGGTGGCTCTGCCTATGCTTGTGAAAACTTAGGTTTGCAACACTTGAAGGGAACTCAGGAATGGAGAACTTCGTCTGTACCGTCGCGTCATTCTTGCATGCAGATTCGAGCCCGCCCTTGGGAGGCTGCATTTTATGGGCCTTGACACACCTACCAGAACAGTGCGGCACTGAGTCATCTGCACACGTGTTTGCTCCCCGCTGCAGAGTTGTTTTTGACAACATTGCCTGTGGCACTTCCAGGACCCGTGGCCTTGCTGTGGATGCCTACCCTCCTGCAGTCGCGGCGCTGCGCCGCACTGTGCAACAGAACCATTTGTCAGAGCCTTTGGCAACAAAGTTTGGACAAGGAGGCGAGGCCATCTGTGAAGTTGCCGAGTACTCAGAGTCGCCGGCATCTGCCATGGCGTGTAAACTTCAGACTGGCAGGCACAATCGAGCTTCCTTGTCGCTCCTTGTGTACAGCATCATGCTCAGGACCGTCTGGAGGTAGTGGAAAGCTTCGTGTGCCTCCGTGACGGAAAAGATGAAAGCTCCTGGTCTGAAGGCTTGTGGCTTAGGTTGTTGATGATCAGTGCTGTGATAGCTCAGGACATTTTGTGGTGTCACTTCGCCAAACCGGCAAGCACCTGGTGCCTGTTCTCGCTTCCAGGGTTTCGGAGGTTTGCAGAGTACAGGCAGCGGTGAATCGGGCATTCTTGAGCACGGTTAGCGGTTGCTGCAAGCAGGGATTGCTCACACAACAACTTGCAAAGCGCTTTTGCAACCGGCGCGGTCTGCGCCCCGGCTCAGGTTAGACCGGGCTCCCCGGATATACTCTGGCAAAGACGCATGTCCGCGCTTACTCAACGCATACAGTCCCGTCTCAAGTGACATAGTTGCATCCGCGCGAGGCGTGGGAAGCCTGGGCTGGATAATATAAGGATATGCCCGACGAGAGACCTGCCCGATCCCACGGATCAAGTCAAGCCCCCCAGCCACCACATCTAGGACAGCTCAAGGTGCAACCAGCATGGGAGGAGGTCACCGATGAGGCCGATCAATGTTCTTCGAGTGCACCACCTCCTGGACCCCTCAGCAGTTGCTGTGTACACGAGGTGATGGCTTCTGATGCAACTCAGGCGGATCCTTGATGGCAGCAGGCGAATGTACGGGCGATAAATGGTCCGTGAGTCTTGCAAATACATGCATAAGCATGAGGCTTGGTTTGGATTCCTGGCAAACCAACACCCTTCCGAACTTATCTGCTATCCGGCCCAAACCAAACAGCGGCTGTTCAAGCAAGATGCTGCATTTCAGGGTCTAAACATCAGATATGAGATCTTGGAACCCAAGGAATGCACGAGTCTTCAGGCGCTTCTGGAAGAACAGCACATCGAACAGGCCGGTGAAAAAGCAGCATTACCGGAATGTGCATGTGTGGAATGCTGCAGGTTGACATACTTCGGATACATGTCCTGGGGCGCGAATTCGATGCTCTCCGCTCTGCGGAGAAGTTCTTGCGAGCTGGAAAGGCAGAGAAGAGGGCAGTGGTCGGTGCCAGCCATTGTGCTTGCCATATTCAGCGTAGAGCTTCCTGCTGTTGCTGGCAGTGTTGATCTCCAATCTGAATGCCGGTTCCGATAGAAGCCTTCATAGCGTCTGCTCACAGGTCAAAGCCCTTGCAATCTCCGTCTCCAAGGACCTGAGTGCATGCGCGACATGCCCAGCAGACCTTGCTCAGCTTTCTAGCAGAAATTTTGGTCCTTTCCATGCGAACATCGTGAAGCCGTGAGATTGGGCTGCAGGAGAGCATCGAGCTCGAGGCCATGGCAACCTCCTCAGCTGTTGGAAGCTTTTCGCTTGTGAATTGGCATTTTCTGGTGCCCCTAGGCTCAAATGTTGATGCGCGCCTCTTCTGCAGTCCGTGCTTTCAAGACGTGTCGCAAGTTCTTTGCTTGGTGTGGTTTCTGAGCAGGTTCTGGGTACATTCTACAGCTGGAAGGATTTGCCAACTGGGACGTCCAGAACATCTTCCGAGCACAGCAGAGTCTTCCTCAAAGCGGCTCGACGTGCGTCTGGCTTGCGGGGAGGAGCAAGCTGTAGCCATGCGCAGGCTAGATTCTAGATTCGGCTGGATTCTGACGGCAATCTGTAACACCGCAACTCCGATAGTGCGTGCTGACATGATGGCATCGTTTCAGCGAAGGTATGAGACCAGGACTGTTGCTCTCTCATGTATTATATGAGAGCTAAGGTGTTCAGACGATGATTGCCAGATATCCACGGTAATTGCAGCAGCCAAGAGGAGGCAAGCCTGCACTGGTTCTCTATGCAGGAGGTTTCTGGAGCGTCCTCGACTCGACTTGCGACCAGGGTCGGGGCCAGAGCGTTCTGCCGTGGCGGCTCGACGGAGACTCTCAACAAGTTTCACTGTGTCCTGACGAAAACATCCTCGACTTGCTGCGGTGTCAACGAGGAGGGACTTGAAGATCGCGTGAAGGTATTTGTTCCGAATAGTGCTGCATCAAGAGTTGCGCTGCAAAAGCGCCGGGAGGCCTACGGCCCCCATGCGGCGGTGGCTGCCCCAGAGCAGGTGAGGCAGACGCAGCGTCCTTCTGCAGCGGCGCCCACATGCTCCACCATTCTCAATGGGTGATCGCTCTCTAGAGCTGGGGGACTGCGGCGACTTTCGGACATTGATGGCAGGCACTTCTCCGTCTCGCATCGCAGCCACCACACTTCAGTCATCTACCGCGAAGACGGATTGACTATCGGTGGATGGAGGTCGCGAGATTGGAACGGCTGGTCCTGCCCCACAGGAGCAGCGAAGGGCATCAAGTTTGGCTTCCAGTTCATTCAGATTGGCAAGTGGCGAATAGATGCCGCCAACACGGATCACTTGTCCATCGCCCATGTTGTGGGCCAGGTGTCTTCCATCTGGAAGCAAGACAACTCTCTGCAGACAGGGCCCCCCTCTGATCATTCGACCTTCGACCGTCCTTCGGGCGAAGCTGTGGGGGTCAGCTTCGGAGACCGCTTCGTCCAGGTCGGCTGGGCCGTCTTAAGTCTTTCGACAGCAAGCATGTGGGAGGCAAGGGTCAGCTTTGAGCCGATCATTTGCCATGATCGAGGCTTTTGTACCTTCCCTGCGTCACATTCCCCTCCCTCTTCAAGAGATGGCAACGAGTATCCGGGACCACGTACGGACTGGGGCCTTTTTCGTCGCCAAATCGGGGAACCTCTCGGGATTGGATTGGCTTCGGCGACCGTTTCATACGATTCGGGAATTTCCGCATGGGTGATGTGGATGGGACTCCATCTCGCACTCTAGTGGGCACACCATCGCCTTCAAGAAGGATGGCATCGAGTATGGGCCGCGAGGGGGACTTCACCCTCTTCGGCCACAGCCTCTCGGAGTGCGTGGTACGTGGTGCCTCTCTGAACTGAAGGAAACATCTTCGACTGCTGAGGTTCCAAAAAGTTGCTTTCCCTGCTGTTGAGGATGATGTGGAATTTCAGGGCTCGGGTTGTTGGTTACGATAGAGTAGTGAGTAGGAGTTGGGGATCCCGCGAGCCTCTGCCTAATTTGGAAAGGTAAATCATCTAGAGGATTATACATGGGCCCCCAGGCTCAGCAAGCCAAACCCTAAAACCCATCAACACAAACCCTCAGCAAACTCACAACGAGATTATCGCACTTCGCTGCGCCCGGTGAGCTCGCACTTGAGCCATGCCACAACGATTATCGCACTTCACTGTGCGTGTCATCCTTAGCAGCAGGGGCCATGCTAGACACCTCAGTTGCCGTGTCATCCTGAGCAGGGGTCATGCGCACAGAGGACATGTCCTGGCTTGAGCACGTATTGTTGCGACTTGTTTTTGGT